AAGCAATTATATTGAATAGCTCTAATGCATTCCTTAATCGTTGGGGAACGGATCTCTCCAAGATGGCATCAAAAGACGTTTAATTTACCGGCTACCCCGTTTTAGCAACGATGTCAAGTAGGCAAAAAGGTGCTTTGATTTTGTTTAATGTGCTTAAACTACTTTGTACCTAAGTTGTTTTGATAAGTGTTTGTTCTAAGACGAAGCTGAAATGGTCTGATATCATCCCAATTACCATGTCATTCTGTCGTCATACAACAGTCGTTTCCTTCATAAATAGCTTCCTTTTTATGATGAAATAAAACACGTAATGGCTATTTTTCTCAAGGTGTATTTTAAGAGATAAATAATCCATTACAGTCAATTACATCTTCGAGTCAAATAAGGCTTACAACTGGCATGAGGTAGCAAAAACAACGTCCTTGAACGAATATCAAAAGATGTATTTATTATAAATAGATAATCATTGTATAACTTCACTTTTTCCGTGTACAAATAAATAACATTCTGATGATGCAAGACTCTTCCTTTTTTCGAAAAGCGTCCCACTAATAAATAACATTTTATCCAGATCTTTCTTGAGCTGGCACTCTATTTTTCAGTTCCTCGCAAGAGTAAACATTGTCATCCTCTGAGTTCATAAATTTCACCAAGAATCTGCTCCAGAAAATCTGCCTTGTTTCGACTGTAAAAGCATAAAAAATCCGTGTTAGATAAGAGCAAATAGTTTCGATCTTCTGCATGTGATTTCTTCACCGTCGGAGAGCCGAAATGTACGTGTAACAACTGCCAATTTATCAAACTGCTTCATAAGGAAACCCAGCCAATAACTTTAATTGTTTCATCTTCATTGCGGTTGCAGTTGTTGAACCAGAAACAAGCAACAGGAAGTGTCAGGAATGTGCTTTGCCCTCGTCACTTCAATTTTGCAAACATTTTGTTTTCCCATGTTTAAAATTTCGGTTTTACACAAATTGTGCAGTACAAGGGTGCTAAAGTTTCCCACTTCGTGCTGAGTAAGTTAATTCTTAAGCTTTCAAAACCTGTATATAACAAATTTAAGTTCTTGCTACTGGTCATGCTAAATTTACTGTAACAAATCTGTGAGCCTACTAGAGTTTGCGTTGCCAGCATAAGCATAATGTAGAGAGATAACGCTCTGAGCACAGTAAAAGAAGATCAAGGTGTAAAGATTCTTACCTTAGATCTGTGCGTTGTTTTGTATTTTTGAACCCACTTCGATAACTCTGATACTTTTCTTTCCAGCTCCAGTTCTTTGTTCTTCAGTCTCTTAAGCTTTCTTCTCAGCCTGACGTCATCCGATGCTTGCTTTTTTTTGTTCCTCTTAAGTTCATCTCTTCTTGCAGTAAGTGATAAAGCAAACCCCTCACTGTTTCTGCAGAGGGTAGCCAGGACGAGGAATAATACAAAAGAAATCGTCAGCACTGTTGATGTTTTCATCTTTCTCTCAGCGTGTCTATGCAAATGTGTCTCACGATGCTTCTTGCAGCGGTCTTTTATACCTACTCACTTATAAGATAAATCAAATACTTCGTTAATGACTCAAATATGGATTGGAATGATCACGCCCCCATTCCTCGAAATAGAATGATCCAATGACATGGCAAGCTTGAAGTATCCATTCATTTGAATCCAAGCTGTTCTTGGACAACAACGCCTCAGGGCGCCTGGAAACTCCTATAAACTTCTCGCCTCGAATAGCCAAACAACCTCAATTGTAACATAAACAAACAGTTGTCCTAAAAACTTGGGCCTACAGTGATGTTTCATTCAGTCTTGTTACACCCCGTGGCGCTCAGCTCAGTAGGAAAATGCAGACAAATAATGGAGTGGTTGTTAAGGAATATTTAATGACCCATAACGAACAGTTCGAGCGTTTTGACAAGCGGAATGATAGCCACTAAGTCGAGAGGCTACTGAACAAAATAGCAATTCTATCTTAATTACACATCCCGCCTGCTGAAGGGCACTTGCATTTGCACATTAACTCTTAAAAGGACACTCTTCGGATCACAACTAGACATAAACCGTTTATAAGAATGATGAATGGAAAATTCGAAAAATGCAATTTGGAAGCCTTTTATCATGGCGGTAACCCATGGCTGTCGTTTTTACGCCGATGGCATACTGTGCTGCAACCACATAGCCGAGATTCATTCATAGCGTTTGAAGTCATATCATGGATAGTCACATGATCTTGGTAATTCAGGGTTGGCTACGTTGGCTGAACATGATAATGCGATTTTACGGGGAAACTTCTTTCATTGGGCTTCTTTTTGAACTAAGTTACTGTTTTATCTATTGTCTTGAAGAATTTTCAACGGTATTTTGATGTCGTGATGCAAGGTCTTTGTTGGTCACAAAAGTGTAATAAGACTTTCAAAATTGCCTAAAACATTAACTTTGAAATGAGAGTCATCTACCAAGGATCCACTATTGTTATGTTTGAGAGGTTTTGTTATTATTCTCGCGAATTCTGTGCAACAATACCCTACTCCACTATTTATAAAACAAATGATGCTGACGTTTTTTTATGGTTTAATGTTCCCACAGTGTCTCTTCCTTTGGCCAAACCGAATTGTCGAGATTTCAATGAACTAGACAAGAGGAATTTTAGGTATTTAACAGAAAGTTAAATTACAACACGAACACTTTGTCGTAAGTTCCTTTATTTACCAGGAGCAATGACGATATGACAGTTTTCCTCTTTAATTTTAATTTCAAGGTATCTATCGGCAAAAAATCCAGAATCCAACGGAAACTTTCTTACGCATTTTTAAAATGTTCGGTTTCCGGTATAGAAGGACTTTGGTGCGTTAAGCGAACAAAAGGCACAAACTGATATTATAATTTCATGCTCTGAAGAACTGCGAGCTGAAAAACAACTATCACTTTAAGTAATTTAGGTTAAAATATTTCCAAATAACTTGTTTTTTAATGATTTTCTACCTACTCGGAAGCTCATATTTTATCAATACATTTAGATTATCAACATAAAGAGGGTTTTATCCAAACAGATACCTCGGTAAAATCTCTTAAGAAATTAACGAGATATTTTTTGCAATAATGTAAAAACCACGTTTTCCAAATAACATTCTAAATCTATAAAAATCGATTCTAGAAAACCGGGAAATTTCTTTCACAACTTTATATTAGCCTTCTTAAACATTGTCAGCGTGTAATAGCTTTAATCCCAATTTAGCTGATAGAATACTTGAAGTTTCTATGCATGTCTATATCTGGTCAATAGGTAAGCATAGTCCTAAAGTTTGTGCGTTCGAGATATTGTCAATTTTGTCCTGTTTGTAATCTTTGTGTGAGACTCGTGGGCCTCTTAACTATCGCAGTGCGTGTGCCTCTCTATAACCAGGATCATGCAAGGGACACCAAAAACTTGCCAGGAAAACGTAGGAAGACGTAAGAGCGAAGATAGCCCATGATAGACCGACATGATAAGGAGTAATAATAACTGCTGTCCAAGAGAAAGCGGTATAGGTTCCATGTAGCATTCACGGCGATTCTGACTCAGGGTGCAGACTTCAACTACAGATTTTAACACTTTTCTGCTCAGTCAAGAATTCCTTGGTGAAAAGCCACAACCTTGGTCACTACGTAGGATTGGAAAATGTTTCAGTCATTTATGACTTTTGTCTCTCTCTGTATCTTTGCAAAATTGAATGAACAATTTGCAAATTTGAGCAATATCTGATTTTGAAAGGGAGAATAGGGGTGTCGAGAACTTATTTTTGAAGGTCGTTATTCAAAATTCGCTTTATTTTTACGAATTTTCTGCCACAATTTTCCAAAGATTGTCGGGGCTCAATGTGGCAGTTTCCACATTTTTGGCAGATTTCTATTATGCCCCAGCATATCGTGGACATCGATTTGTAAGACAAGTAACGCAAACTTTAACGCAGCCTAAGGAAATGATTCGCGCCTTAGAAAACACTATTCTAGGAAAAGGCTTTTTTTTATGCATGAAGTAATGCCACTTTCGGCCAAGAAAGGGGGTTAAGAAGCGATTTACATGCATATTTGGGGACCTAATTCGCCCAATCTCTAAGAAACTTTTTACCACTGCTCTATTGAGATAATAAATTTTTGACTATTGATATCATTCTATGTTCAACTAAAATTGTGTTTTTTTGCCCAACCATTGCTCGGTGGAAGGGAAACTAGTGTGAGAAACAAAGCATGGCAGCTGTACCATTCGATCCAGGGTGCAAGTTGCGATTTATTGGATAGCAGCAGCCAGCAGGGAGCGTTCCGACCCCCATCTTTGAAACCAAGGTTTGAACCTTGCCTCATGATGTAGCCTACGTATTGTCAGCAGTTTTGTGTGCGCTTTGAAGGGATCTTGTAGCCACAGTTTGAACCTTGTCTCATGATGCAGCCCACGTATAGTTAGCGGTTTTGTGTGCGCTATGAAGCGTTGAGTGCCGGAGCTGCAAATCGAGCGGCGAAGCCACGAGAGGTTCGAGAATCCAAAATACCACCAGCTATACAAGCTAATGAGTTTGTTGTTGTGAGTTTGCTTCCTCGCTCCAAAGGTTTTTCTGAGTTTTCCGGTTTTTCTCGTACGTTAAATCACACTCCAAATCACAATTCGACCACAAAAGACGACCAAGAGCCACGTAAAACAATAAACTTGCCACTGCCAAAACCCACTTTATGATGTATTACATCATTCAGTAATTATGCCTGTGACTAAACTTGTCTTGTAAGTAAAAATGTTTCCTTTTATTTGACCAAATTCTTAGGAAATGACATAACGAGCTCGAATTTCTCTACTGCCACACCTCTGAGTAACAAATCCTTTATCCTCTCATAGATGTTGTAAATTACACAAGGAGGTCGAGAGGAAGTCGCAAAGTATATTCCTAACTAAAAATAGTTTCCATCGAATGTACTGTTTACAGAAGCCTGTCACTGTGTACTTATGAATCGTAGCTGAGAGTCAAACTTGAGACACTCGAACATGTTTCAATCTGCAGTAGTTTTATTAATGATTAGGTCCAGCTCGAGGTGGAGCCCAAATGTCGACAATAATCAATTTGCGCACGCTATAATTTAAAACGAGCATACAAACCTAAAAAAAAAACTCAGTTATTTTCCACAAATATGTTATGTTAAGCGCTTAACTGGTACATAAAGTTTCTAATGAAATTACATAAAAAGGAATAAATAAATAGAAGTTGAAATCTCAACAGCCGATTTGCATCATTTTCACAAATGTACCAACGAGCAAGCATTTTCATTGCTCGTCATTATTTCAACATTTAATGCTGGACGAAGTTAATGAGGCTGATATAATTAAGTCTTGGCAATTTATTTCAGTCTTTTCGAGTGTGTGAATTTACCCTGTTCGAAGAATGCATCATTTATAAATATGACTTTTAACTTAGTTCGCACCAATCTTGTGTTGGATCTTAGTCTTATGTTCGTTGAAGGTGGGAGGAAGTTTACAATCCAACGTTGTGTCTCAACAACATGGCGCATGTTTTCCATGCTTTTCCTGCAGTGTCATTCGTGGATCACCAAATGGGCTTCTTTCTTACGCCCCGATCTCCAACATCGAAACTTTTGCTCTACAAAACAACGACATTTTTAAATTTAGACTACGTGTATAGGCCACCACGTTGTACCATCAGGTTTCCAAGATTACACGCAGTGCATTCACCTCCGTGATTTATTTTTAAACTTTTTGTTTGTTCTTCTCAGTCAGCGAACCGCAAAGAGAAAAGTCAATTTTAAAACGTGCCTTACTTTTCCTTTATCATGACTGAATCTTTCCACCGACTGCTTGTGATGGATTAAGCTTTTCACTGATAATGCTTTGATTGTTTCAGACTCAAGTGCTTCTTCTACAACGACCGAGAGATGTACAAGATACGCTTTTTTTATTTACTGCATGGCGTGTGTTTGCTAATGACGATGTTTACTACTAATTTGCTTTTTTCTCTCTATCAATAAATTTCATCTCATTCACGACGAAAGTGCTAAGTGTTTGTCTCAGACTCCACTATTCCCACATTCTTAGGATAATCAAGTCGATTTGGTTTCAAATGTTGTCATTATTTAACGCGTGTAGAAGTATCTACAAAATTTCCATAATTTCGAATGCGTAGAGATTACAGTGGATTACACTCACGTTTACACTCACGTTTTCGTTTTCAAAACATCCGCGTCGACCGGTTACAAAATCGCCAAATCAAACGAGGTTGATACTTCTGCTCCAACCCCAAACGCATTAAGCATTTCATTGACAATGCTTAAAGACGGAACACTCACTTACTTGTATTAGCCTTGTAGCACTGAATTAATTATTTCGTTATTATATCATAAGTCTTGTGTCTACAAACCAGACTCGCTACTCACCTTCTTGGAGAATCGTGTCAGCCAGCGCCTCATTTCCTTGAGTTTTCGTTTATTTTCTTGTCTCTTTCTTTTCCTCCGATTTTTGTTTCTTAGGCGTGCTTTTCGTCGTTTCTTCTTTCGTTCTTGTTCCCTCTTTTGAACCTTCCTTACTCTGCCATTTGTAAGAACAAAAACAACCCCGTGACTTTCCTCTGGAAACGAGAGCAATATCAGTGTGAGTGTCGTGAGGATGACAAGAAGCGTGAACGTCTTCATTGCGTGGACCACACGAATTACTTCAGGCACTGTCTTCAAGCGCGCTGTTGAATAGAGGCAAGTGCCCAACCACTTCTTTGCTTTGTGATTTAAGCTGTGATTTCGTCTTAATGGGTGGCTATTAAGAATATTGCAGCAAGTGGTAAGAGTGTTTGTTGACCGCTGGGAACGTTCGCTACAGTGCTACGATAGCCTGCTTGGACTGATGTATGCAGTGGGAACCGAGGCATTGTAGCGTCATAAGTGAAATTACCGAGGAATTCCAGGTATGCTGTGAAGAGTCTGAAAGTATAATATATTTGAGAGCCTTGAGGCAAACAACACTATTTGCAGCGTTTATTCTAATGTTGTTCTCAGTTCAACTCTTAGTTCAAACACCCGTGTAATTTTGGTAAATTTTCTGATTGCATTTTTGTGAAATATTGTCAACACCTTGTTAAAGGGATCATAAATCTCTAAGTAATCGCCAATGAACAATGTTGTGATGTGTGATGTTTACAAAGGGTTAATAAAGCTAAGAACGTGAGTTTGCCGAAGCATGACTTAAAATTACGTATTTTTATCTAGGCCGACTTTTTTTCTCACGAAGCAAATATGACAGGGAAATTTCGAAAAAATGCGGTAATCGCCATTACTTATTTCCCTAACAGCTGTGATTTCACAAAACTTGTCTGGTTAGGCAAAAGTGATTTTCTTTGTTATTTGTGGCTCCTACAAGACAATCACACATCCCCTGAGAATCCTAGCTTCTGATCATCTTTCAGGAAAACAGGCTTATCCAGCTGATTGCGTAATATAATGATTGTCTTCGGGAGAGATTTGAAGGATTGTTTGCTTAGTGTGAAATCTTTGCCATCTCGGCACACGGATTGCGGAAATGGCGGCGACTGGCTCGAACACATCAGACAAACTGGTGCGGTTCAACAGGGTGTGGACAAGTAGGTTTAGTAAATGCACAAAAGATTATAGCCACTTAATGTCCTGATCACCATCATTGTCTTAGCCATCTTTTTGTTTGTTTGAATGTGATAAAACACTTTAACTTCGCTTTTGGGAAAAATGCAATTAAATTTGCTTTTGGAGTGGAGCAGGTTAAAGGGCACCACAAAAACTAGTCTTCGAACACGAATTTTGCAGCACCTTAAAAAACTACTTAAAATGATCGTTATAAACCGTCAACCCTTTCCTTCCTCAATTCTCGTTGTAATTTCATCTCCAGTAAAAGTTCTCTTCGTCAATTTCCTTATAGTCTTTAAAAACAGGTTAATATTGTTTTCCTTAAGTTATTGTTAGGATAGATTCTAATTGGAATCCCCCACAAGCTCACATCAACAGGTTATACGAGGAGATTTCGGAGAAAATCAGCGCGCGCAAGATTTCGTATGAACGTCTTTTGCTTTTAAGTTAAGGTATAGAGTTATGCTTCTATCAAAGAAAAATTATATAATTGCAATTCCTAGAAAGTGCAATTAAAATTCTCTATCGTCTTTGAACAAAAGAGAATTCGGTAATAGCGACTTCAAGTTGAAAAAGATGGATAAGTGTTCCTTTGTCCATTCTGCATTCTACATATTTTCACCTTCATAAATCAAAAATCTTCTATATAGACAAACTGTGGTGTTTAAATGAGGTGGAACGAGTGTTCTTGGAATCTGTACCAAGTCACGAAAGCCTTTTATACTCTAGCTCGACTATCGTCATTACCATTCTCAGCCTATATTTTCACGAGATGTTCAAATATTTTGAAAAACCACAATGACGTTTGCAAGGTAGTCAGCGTAAATAATGACGAAAGCCTTTGACTCTTTGGTACATTTCATTCTCTTACACAGTAGGTAGGATCTAAGATCCCGAGGAAAGAAACTTCGATATAAACCACCCATTTACGCAGATCAGTTTAGTATTGCTCTTTATTTTCACGACGTGGGAGAAAAAGGTGGCACCCTATCGATGCCCGGTACTTCGGCAGTATCCAGGCATGCATTCAGAATACTGCTCACAGAAACATCAATGCGTTGTTAGAAACTCTCAAGTTTAGTGTTAGTATTATCACGATAGCCTATAAACGTTCACGCGAACACGATTCCCTTGCTTAAAGATGCTATTGAAATAAAACTGAAGTTAAACAGAAAGATAATTTGTTATGTATTCTAAACAAAATCAAAATCTGTAAGATAGTCCAATTTACCCGAGGCATTAGTTTGAACTTCTCTGCGACAACTAGAGAAGAGCTTGTTCCTTTTCTGGCGACAACATTATGTTTTTCAGACGGACCCCTCATTATTTTGAAAGAGACTACTTAGCTTACGGAAAGAACAGTGAAAGCAAGTCTATAAAACCCATTCATCTCTTCGAATGTTTGGAAGCGACTCGCGACGACACTGAGATAGAAAGACTTGGCACTCTTCTGACGTGTGAAATATACTTTAATTAATAGTGAACCGACAATTTTTTATCTTGAAATAATAGATTGTTGGCGGCGGGAACAGATTCAATTCAGACTTGCCTGATATACAGTTAAACTTTCTGGGCGATTGAGCTCCACATTTCACTAGCAGAGAGACTGAGTGATAAGATAATTTTCCAGGAACATCAGTAATAATTGGAAATGATCGAATGAAAAAGCTTGAAAAAAATTCAGAGCTTCGACGAGATCTGCTCATCTGTGGCCATATAGATACCGTTGCTATGCTAAAAAGCTGTGTTTTGATGCCACATATTGGAAGTAAGGTCAGGTGTGAGTGTCTTATTAATTTCCACACTCAAAAATAATGAAATCAAGTATGGAAAAAATGGGAAGAGAACATCTCTTATGAGATGGCCCATATTTCACATATTTACACTTTTCATAAATAACCTCCTTATCCTTTAAATTGAAGATTTCTCCTTCGAAAAAGTCCTGGCACCCTCGTGCTTTTCATAGCTCAAGCTTACAGCAGAACTAATTTTGTTTCCCTTTCCCTGGGTTCAAAACGACCAGCCGTTCGGGCTAATTAAAAAAATCAATTATCAGTAACATCTATCCAAGGCTACCGATTGTGAACAGACATTACTACGACTTTCAGCAGAATTGCAAAGAGATTAATTTGATTTATTTTCGTTTGTTGAGTTCCTAGTTATTCGTTATTTTATCTTGTAATAAGCTATTCGCAAGCTTCTCCAGTTTGCCAAGAATAAACAAAATAATTCAGGCTGATCATTTCCTTCCTCTTTGTTATTGGACTGCAAAATAGTGTCACAGCATTAAGTTCTAACATTGGAAGAGCAAACCAACTTACTTTTCTCGAAGATTTTTTCTCGCAGTTGGCACGCGCTTATATTTCCCTCCATATTTAAAGATAGCAATTTCGACTGGTTGAGGTTCACTGATTCAACAGGGGTAGGGATGGGGCGTGGTCTTTTTATTTCTGTTTCGAAACAGAATTCGTTTAATGATCACTACGCTATCCTCTTTATAAAGCTAGACAGCTGTCCTTACCGTACAGTTAGTACCTTACATCACTATACTGTAAAGTAACGCACTTTTAGGCAACCCCATAAATAACCAGAGCCAATCTAGCGGAGTGGAAGAGTCTTGAAATACAATAAGACAGGGATACCTATATAAATCACAATCAGAAATAGAAAAATCAGAAAATAATAGCGCACTACTATTATAAACAAACGTCTGTCGCAGTATTATCTCGATAAATTAATGATATTGTCAATATTAGCAGCAATGCTTCCCGGTCTCTCTTAGTTTTTTCGGATATTGTACTCGACTCTTTCTATTATTTCGGGATCTCTAAAAGTGCGAAGAAGCGAAGGATAACAAAATAGTTTACAGAATTTGTTTAGGAAATTTAAACATTTTCCATCCACAAATAAATGCCGTTGAGAAATTCAATGTCCTGGTGTCTCAAGCCAGGAAGGGATGATCTTTTTCTCGAACTTAATCAGTGGGAAAATTGTTCTTGAGAGGGTAATCTTGCAAAATGGCACCCTGCGTCCCTGCCCGCCCCCCTACGGAGGTAATATCCTACGCTGCTCTCTTCAAAACAATTACATTGCTTTGTCTTAATACCGACATCTATCTAAGTCTTTGTTGGTATCAGCCAGAGAAGCTTTTTGAAAGATCATTCTTGAAAAACAAGGTGTTTTAAATGTGTTTACCGTCAGTGCTGACCACCTGAGGTTGCAAATCGAAATAAATTTGCACTTATTAGACCGATGGAGGGAGACCAAAATTCTAATTTTAGTACATTGCTTCAAGGTAGACAGTTAATGAAACTATTTTGAGAAAGATGCTCATTCTTGACTCATCCTTGACCTTGGCAACGATCGACATTTCGAGATTAAACAAATGATTCTGAGAAATGTCAGAGCTTTTGATCGTTTTGAGGGCAGAACATTCCTCGAAGTTTATAACAAACTTATGCGTCGGGTTTTTTTTTATTAAGTTTTAGGATCAGACAGTTGTATCTATTTACATCAGACCTTATTCCTGGGTAAAGTTCTACTAAATTTAATTAGATGAAGTGTTTGAAAACATTATGAGATATGATCAAACCTGAAGGGCAGAAATGGGCGTTTGGAGTCAGTATTCCTAGACAGCGGTTTAGGAAGAGAAAAGAGCATGTAATTGACACCGACCTGCAACACCAATATCGCATATAATTGAATTGTCTTTATTTACGTAATAGCTAAGATACGGTGATTGCTATTAAGTAACGCACTGTTTCATTTTGCATTAATATAGCGTAGTTGAATTGAACTACGATATAACTTGACAGTTATATGACTTCCTTCCGTTTGTTTGATGCCTGTTCATGGTTGCTATGGAATTTAATTGATCGGGAAGCCTGTCAATACATCTTTTTCTACAATGCGTAAAAATGTCAAACGCGGAATGGTCCTATCCCAGTCTTAACAATGTGAGCATCATTTTTTTCACAAAAGATTTTGGCCCTGGACGTCATTTATGTGTCAAAAAGGCAACCAACGATGGCATCGAAGCGTGAAATATGAGCAAATAACGTAATAAAATCAACAAATAACATCTCCGCGTTTACAAAGAATCAGCACGATTGAAAGTACGTGTGTTTGAAAACGTTTCTGTTTCAAAAGTTGACACCGTTTTTAACGACATATCATGCGTTTAATCACGTTCGTGGCGCTGTTTGCGAAGCAGTAATTCCATCTCTTAAGTTTCCTTTAGTATTAATCTATTGATACGCTCTCAACTCTGCCATTTGAAGCCGGATTCCTTTTGCTTTGTCACTATAGTGATGACTTAGCAATTTAAGAAGGGGAATGGTATTTCAACTGTAGTATACACAACTAAACCAGGTATGAAGTTGGATTCGTTAGCATTTGATCCTCCGTTACTCTCCTCTATTAATGAGATGAAACTATGTCCTCTCCAACCACAACGATAATGTGCACACATGAATATTTCTAAGTACTTGAGATTGTATCACTCTCCATCTGAACGGAATTGATTCTCACGCCTCCAACTACTCTTCTGTGATCATTGCGTATATAGCCATTTTTTCCGCCTATAAACATGTACGTCAAAGTTTTAAGACTAACAAATATTGAATTTCGCTTCGATCTGGCAGATCCGCTGGAAACTGTCGAAGCCCCTTCTCATATGTCGGCATGGACCGCTTTGGATTAAAGCCCGATACCTTTTAGTCGATAGTAGGCGTATTATTATCACTTATCTCCAACTTCAACTCACAATTTGTGCGCTGCTTGTGGAACGCACAGTCCAGCTACTCATCATTGTCAATTTAGTTTTCAGTCCAGCGATTATCTTGTCTCGCTTCTCAAGCCGCTCTCTTAGGACTTGGTTCCTGTTTTGGACCTCAAGTTTCAGCTTAACATATTTCTCGATCTGCTCCCTGACTTGTGAGATGATGTCCTGCTTGACCCGAAGGCGATCCATCATTTCCTGCATAACACTGTCGCATCTTTGACTTATCTGCTCTTTTTCGTACCTTAGTTTCTCTGCCTGAAGTAATAGAGTGTCCTGAAAGTCGTGAGAGTTCTTTATTTGACTGTTTTTCTTGGCGAGCTTTGCTTTCAATTCCTCAATTTCGTGATACGCCCTCGCAACTTCGTTCATAATGTCAATTTTACTCCTCTCGAGCGAGAGCAGTGCGTCATTATTAACTTGAATTGTTCTCTCTTGATGACAAATTGTTGCCCTTCTCATGATTATAAAGAGACGACAGAGCGCAATACTATTTTTCCTGATTGGAGAAAAGGACTTGATATATTTCCTTCGAAATACTTTCGAAACGTTCGTCTTCTTCTTCTTTATCAATATATTGTGCCTCGACGTTGTAATTTCGTAGATCTCGAACGACTGATTATAAAAATTCGCTCCCGCCACTGGGTTGCAGCTGCAATTACTTGTTAACAGTCAAGTACCAAAATCTTCCTAATGGCATTGATCATTCGCTGAAAGAAAATTTGCGTAGTGCTTATTCCCCAGAGGAAAGTTCTTGTTTTTGTCTTTCAGTAGCTCTAAGACGCCATTGTAATTTTGTTACGTCAAATAGCACCAGAAAGTTGAAGAAACAATATAGTTGATGTGTTTGCTGAGTTTGCCTTCTCTGGCTGTGCAGAAAGATGTTCGAATCAATATGTGCAGCCTTATATACTTTAGCCCCGGTGCAATGAAAATGTTATCCGCTCTTGCAAATATAGCTTACCATTATTCCTAATGTTAATAATGTTTGCCCGCGTAGATTTCTTTTGTTTTTCGTTTGTCTCTCAGCATTGGAAAACAAAAGCGTCAGTTATTGGAAGTCAATTAACATTTGGTTGAAGTTTTAGCTTAATACACGCGAATAACAATTGCTGAGGGAATCATTGTTTGAGAAGATGGTAACGAGCTTTTAAGTTTTTGTACACGGCAGACTATAATTGTACAAAATTGACTGTAGGACAAACTACTTTATAACTTTTGTTCGACGAATGGATAGTAGCTCGTTTAGCCAGTATCTATTCTGCTGAGGTGATATCGTCATCTTAATAAATAATCGTTTACTGTTTAGTGGTAGTCCATGAGTATCCGTCTAAGCATGACGACTTATTTGCAATTATGTTATCAGTCTGTCCACTGTTGATATGTTCATTGGGTCGTTTTGCAGGCCTTGTCGATATCACCAGAAGTTAAGCACATTATTGACCCCAACCAAACTGAAGTGCAGTGACATGTTAGACTTCCGCTCTAAAGACGCTGGAGCAGTAGACCTGTTAAACAAGACATTCGTCCATAAATGCTAATTACTGACATTTGTGCCTTGCCCTTAATAAAGCAGTGATAGTAATTAAGTCAAACGTGACATGCGTTTTGTTAACTCTACAACCCGGTGACGCATGATTTTGAGTTGGGTGACTTTTGAGTCTCGCCGATTTCCTCAGTAACACTCAGTGTTCATTACATATCATCATATCATCTGAGCTATCTCGTTAGCATCCGTCTAAGGTACTTACATGAAGTGAAATTGACGCCTTTGTTATGACACTTGACGTCTGCGTTAATTATATGCGACGTCGTGGTAACAAGTAAACATTATTTTTTCTCTGGCGTTGGTTAGGCAGAACTAAATTTAATTTGATTTCCTGCCCCTGTCACGAAAAGGGTCGAACAATAACGGTGTGCTGAGTCATAGGATTGAACATCACGATACATGTACTGACTTGAAGGCGACTTTCGACTCTTCAGCCAGGACAGACAACTTTTGAAAAGCCGTAAACTTGAAAAGATTAAATATGGCAGCGGATGGTTTAGTCGCTTCGCTGCCCTCAATTGATCCTGACAACGATTTCGATGGTAGCGAATTCTCGCCTGTAGACGAGAAAACTGAAAGTAAGACTTGCTTTGACCAAAGTCTGATCTGGGAAGTTGCGGTACACCAAGAGTTCCTTGAACCAGAGATTGTAAGAGCGAAGAGTGTTAGTCCACACCGCAAAGTCAAAGTTCCAAGTACATCAACACAGACCGGCAAAACCAGGCGGGGTGAAGATAAACATCTGAGTACAGAACACACTGAACTTCGGCAACAGAATATGAACAGATCTGGAGTACCAAACCGTATGTCTTTAAAAACTCCTTGTCGAGATTCAGGTAATTTGTCAAGGAACGGTGAATTCGAGCTTCCATCCATCCCAGTTCAATCAAAACGACAAAGGGCCCTGACTGAACCTTATCTGTTGTCTTCTTTGAATGAAGGAGTTGACTTCGTAGAAGGCGATGTGTTTCGTAAGAACCTGAGTTTAATGTATCGTCAAGGTAGAGAAGTGAGAAAACTGGAGTATGATAACACGGCATCGAGAAGAACTTTACAGGAAGCACACGACATGATAGGAGATCTCAAAGCCAAGATTGAAAAGAGAAATAAATTCATCAGAGAGAGGAACAAGAAAGAAGGAGACATCGCTCATGTTGTTGAAACTTTAAAACGGGAAAAGGATGAAAAGCTCTTAGAATACAAAACGATACAAAAACGAATGACTGAGGCACTGGCGCTCAAAGACAAAAATCTTGAAGATATTGAGGCAGAGAGGACACAGGCTGAGAGTCTTTATCAAAAACAGTTAAAAGACAACACTGAACTGATGAGAAAAATTGAAGCAAGGGAGAAACAAATCAAGCAACTGAAAGACAAGACAGAAAAAGCAAAAAAATGGAAAGATAACGCTAGAAGCTAACTTCATTACAGTGAATGAAACAGCTGCTCCAATCATTTGGGTGGTTAAGGTTTTCAATGATTTAAAGAGCAGTTCGAGACGGTCACCAGTTCATCAAATTGGAATTAGGGTTTTTTTTTTTAAAGGAACAATCAAGTTCGAGTCAGCAATTTGCAATCCTTCGTAATTCTCTCCAAACTAAGCCATCCTTGTTCCTTCTCGGTGAATGATTTCTTCTGTTATATTCCTATCTTACTGAACTGATATTTTAGTGGTCTCGGCCATCATGTTGGAGGGTATAGGTAGCTCTGAACGTTGCAAAGAATGACTGAAAATATTGTGACACTGGTTCCTAATAATCGATGATTTATGCATAACTGTTCCGCAAAATAACAAATGGTAAGCAACCAAGTAAGAATGTGTTTCGTGAAGGTATGATTGCATCTGTAATGTAATTTTGTCACTTAGGATAGATCTAACTGTGAGCTGGTACCATCACACCAAAGTTGCTCATTTTAAGCAACCCAACACCTCAAACAATTGGAAAGAGATCCTCTTCTCCTTCGCCAGCACAATGAACGTGATCTCATTCCAATTAGGTTATTCACAGCCTCTATTCCTCTTCACTTCTAACTAACTGAACGCGATGTGAGATTCCAATAAGGGTAGAGCCCTGTTGATAAATTCATCAGTTGGGGGCCTGAGACAAGGCGTGGGGTAGGGTTAGGGTTTTAGGGTTAGAGCATGCACTCGCTCAGATAGACGATAGACCGATAGAAATGATAGATCTTGGGTCCATTGGGCCCAGGTCTATCGTTTAGCCGGAAGAAGAGGCTGTGGATATCGTGGTACCCTTGTGAGATAATTTTCTGATGACAAAATGATGATAGGTGAAAGCCCCTGAATGGACATCAGGGAGCCAATGGTAGTGACATTAGGCCTTGACTCGCGAAGGAAGGCGAGATAGCCGGCATCGAGAAAGCAGCAACGTATAGGCCACGTTAGGCCTCGTTGATTTGGCATAACAAACATAAAATGCCTCTGTGCACCAACTATCCTGGATAGTAGAAGTTTGGCAATGTGACCGTAAACTATCTGACAGGCGCAGAAAGAAGATACGTTTACTTCTTTCTAGTGGCACGGTTCCTCATGAGATCCTGTTCATTAATAACCCCAAACAAAGTTTGTAAAATTTAATTAACAAAAGTTTTTTTAGGCTTTGAGCTTATCTGAGGAATGTATATTCTAACAGTTTCTGTCGAGGCCCGTTTTAGCTCGACTGCTTCAGTAAAAGTTGTTTCCGTGCCTCTTATTAAAACGAAACCCCAGAGAGGATACAGTGAAAATGCCGCATTCTGAATCTAATGATTACCTCTTGTTTCAACTGATACCAAATACATGTATTGTATGGGCTCAAGTCTCAACTTGAGCTGTTAGCTGTCATGGCTCTCTAAAACCATGGCGACACGGGAACGGGAATTCTGGGAATTCTGCTTTGGGTCGGTACGTAGGTAAAATGGAATCGTGACACTCACTTCTGTACACCCCTCCCCCTCCTCTTTTACTCTGTCTTGCCTTGTTAGCCACTTCATTGTATCGTAGCTCTTCTCGCTTGAAAATTTTTTATCAAATTCCTCTTACTAACCGTTTTTTCTGCTCATATTTATGGCCCAGGTGTAGAGCTCATGGGCCATAATTACATAATTCTATACAAAGGAATATAATATGTATTAATACGAATTAAAGACTAAAAAGATTATTGCGCGCCGGTCCGGTAGCGCTCCCTAGGAATAGCTAACGTTTGCCTGCCAAGAGACTTAAAATTACTACAAGGTCTAAAATTTGCTGACAAAGAATTGAAAAGGGCTGACGCGCTATCCTGGAAAGTGTCAGAGGCCATTGCCTACGTTCTTTCATAGGCAACCAGCCTAATTTGAGAATAGTGTCAATACTGTTTACACAGTGTCCGCAGACAAAACTGGCTGCAGCAATCTGAATGCGCTGTATATCCTTTATAAAAGACAGTCAGTAATTGGATAAAATATTATATCATTAAAGGCAAGGCGGGAAATAACTAAACTTTAAACTAATTTTTTTCTAAGATGAAAGTTAGTAAAGTTCTTGATTGGATTCCGGATAGAGGGGGGAGATTTCGATTCCTTTAACTTTTAAGTTTGGTGGGCCGTACAGTGAAATACGGCCTGCTACTGATAAACATAATCATCAAAATTTACTTATATATTGGTTTAGTATACAGAAAGTAGTTCATCTACACGCATTAAAACTGCATCAAAGATTTAATTTGAGTGCGTCAAAAGTATTACATAAAATTTTTATTGTATTTTTATTGTTATTGTACTTAACAAACAATAACAATACGCTTTCGTGAGCTAGAGAGATAAAAGCTTTTAGTAAAAAAATCTCTCTAAATTTTGTTCGATGAAGACATACAATGCAAAAATGTACTAAAAGTTTAAAGGACACGAGTGAAACCAACACCTTCTAGCAAAAGGATAGTTGATGATAATTATATTTTTAAAAAAAACTAGGAAATATTTGGACGTCAGTTTATCGAAGAGGAAAGAAAAATCAATGGACATTTTGGTTATTTCAGGTTCCAAAGTAAATAACGAGAAGGCCAGCAGGATTGGAATATTAACTGTTTTATTATTGCAATTAAATGACGATAGTTGTTCTTAATGATGAAAACAACCAGCGAGAGAAACGGTCAGAATGTTTGCCGACAAAACGTTTAAATAGAAAGGAGTCGTCTGAATGAATTATACGGAAATAAAATTCAATCAGAATTGAAAAAAAAAAAATTTAAAGCAGTTTTAAAAATTATTTTTCAAGTGATGTCAAATAAACATTTGAACTTTTTATTAATTGTTCATTACATATCTTGTGTAAAAAGGATTGACGACTTTGGCCGCGCGAAAACGTTCAAGAAAATTTTTTGTTTAAGCTTTATCCTCTACTCTCCAATACAAGGTTTCCAACGAATATCTTGAGGAAAAGAGCTCAAAACATGAAGTATGATATTCACGAGTAAAATATCTGGCACAACTACATTTATTGAAGCAAAAACTTATGTTAGAAGTTGACTGTGTCAAAGAAGCTAACCTCTCTCAAAAGTATACTTTCCTTTTTCTAAGGAGACCGCCGAGCTAGATTATTGTAAACTATGACCAACTTTGTTCTCGTCTTAAAATAACAAACAGCTTTAGAACTGGTGCCGTTTGTCCCTAAATTTATTTGCAATATACTATCAAACCAATCGCGAACCAAAACAATTAAAAACACATTTTTTGATCATCTGTCGCTGTTTTCTTTTCCTTTTACTGAGCCGATAAATTAACTTGACCGTTCACGTTTCTTTTATGTTTCATATTCTTTTCCCAAAAGAGAGTAAAATAATTCAAGACACGTTAATTAAGACTTTGCTATCAACATTCTAGCCGGTGGCAAGTAACCGTAGGTTATCGGTTTAAATTCTCGTTTGCTCTCCTCAAAGTGCGCCGATATCAGGAGAGACGATTATCAACACACATGCAGGTACATGAATACTGCTTTGTTTCTCGAACACAAAAGTTTCTTGAATGTGATCTTAGTTGAGAGATCTAACTTCGGTTTAATAATATGGTAATCACGACTTTTAAAAGACCGAAAACAAAAACCTCTATTTAGGGGAGCCATTAGCATGAATTTATGATCATGAGGTCGCCTTTGTGTCATCAAAGAGAAGCTGGACAAACATCAATTGAAGAATCAGCTGGCCATTGTCTTGAGTCATACGTGCAGGCCAAGAAATTTTGCGATCAAAATTCAAGCCTTAAGCGCACGTCCTTCGCCGTTCCTTCTTTCAACAATAACGAAAAAAAAATTTTGAGTAAAGTTCTCAAATCTTGGCAGAGAAGTCTCCGTCTTATTTCAAACGGTTGCAATAGACAATTCTCTCTGCTTTCTTGAGCTATAGCACACTGAGAGAAAATCATCGCTATGAGTAAACTTATGTTATTTCTATCTACGACACTTTTTAGGGCTGTGACGTATTCTTAACATCAGCCAAGAAATAACAGATAAAATAACAATAAACCGCATGGAAAAACTGGCCCTTTCATTATTTTCATTTCCTCCAGCCGTAACAAAAAAAAAATGATAATAAAAAATCAACGGCTTAGCATAGTTGCTTTCAATATGTAAAGAAACCGCCCACAAAAAAAAAATTCAAATTGAAGTTTAGAAATTAAAATTTAATAAAAAGTAGAAATGAATCAGGTCTTTAAACTCGAAACGAAACCGTTTATTTGGTTTTTTTTTCAGGCGATAGTGGAAAGGTGTTGAGAAGTGTTTACCGAGAAAGGTTATTATCATACGTTCATTACAGTTTAAATTTGTCAAGGTTTGAAATAAAAAATTGGATAAGAAAACTTACAACAGAAAAGGAATCAGTTCATTCTCTCTTAATTGAGAAATAGTACAAACTTCAGGACACAATTGGTAGTATCTCAGGTCAACCGAGCGAAAACATTGAATGCGCTTTTTTGGGAAGTTAAAACAAAACAAGAAGGTGCTTTAACTAAAAATACTCTTTCACAAACCAAGTGGAACACTGGCTAGAACATGTTTGATATCATTGTGGTAAAAGTCAAAATTTAATTTCACCAAGTTCTTTAACTAAAGTTTAAAACTTCAGCACATCTCTTCCCTGCTCTCCTTCAGTGCATCCCTTAAATACAGCGCGTGAATATCACTTATACAGGTGGCAATCATAGAGGAATATTAATGACTTTACAGGAAAGTGGTATCTTAAAATAGATCTTTATCGTCGCGCGCGTTAAAGGGTAATGGCGTACGATTTAAAAGATTTAAGCAACACGCGACACTCGTATCGCAAAACAACGGCGCGCGTCGAAAAGGTAAACGGGATGCGCGAAAGACTAAATTGTACATTCAATATGCCTTTTTTGCTCGCTTAGAAGTCAGCTTAAGTCGCGTAGTTTGTATACTTAATTACTAAACGCTTGAAATATGCAAGGACAAGGTGGTACAAGCAAAATTACAATGACAAGATTTTTAAAAGTCAAATAATTTTAGAAATTCGGTGTGATATTTAAAACTTAAGGGGGTCAGTCGACTATAAGAAAAACAACAAAAGAAAAAAAAATTTCGTTCGCGTTTACCAATGACAAGGAAATAAAATAAACAGATTTCAAGGTAAATTTACTTTTTTCCAATGTTGTGTGTTTTTATCCTAACCCAATCTGGTTGACCCTTGGCAAGTTTTTCGCCGAATCGTCTCAATTCTTGTTCTACGATGAGCGTTGCTAAATGCCCTGAAATTAACCACAGTAAGCTTTGTGAATATTCATGTCACACCGCTGTTTCAGTAAAACTCGTAGGACAAAACACTAAGAAGCTTCTCTGGCGTGTCAATAAGATGAGCGGGACAGATAGGATTTTGTAATTCCAAAAACGTCGCAAACTCCGAGAACGAGTCTAAAACGTCCCACTCAACGGTTAAGTTCATATGGCAAGTCGCTATGGACTGTTGAGTCATCAAACTGCCTAATGGTGATCGGTTTGAAACGGCCTCCAGACTGTACCCACAATTGCCACTGTTTTGTAAGATTTCGCTTTTTAGTTCTGTAGGTTGCGCAATTCCATCTTGTCGAGATTTTTTAGTGTTCTCTTTTTCATGTTTTCTGCGGATCTTAACATTAACTTTTGATGTTTTATGACTGGGATTTCCTTGCGGAGATTGTTTCAACTCATGTTGCGTCTCTGGCATTGTTTGCTCCCAAGTCTGTGCCCCACTTTCTGTACAAGGTTTGGGGAAGTCAATGTGATGAAGTCTTGTAGTGTTTCCAAATCGAAGAGCCATGCGATCCAAGTTGTGCTTTAAATTTCCGGTTATCAGCAAAAAACTCAAAATGAGTACTTTGTAGAAGTGTTCTAATCTTTTTGCTTGATCTGATACGGTTATCGCACAGTTCCCTTTCGCCGCTCTTTACAAAACGTGCTTTACAAAATAAGTTCTAAAGTTAGGCCACAAAACATTCAAGGCCAAATGTTTACGACTGGGCGACAAGATCAACACTTAAAAAAGGTACGAAGTCACCAGTTCTTGACTTGCGGTCGAGTTCCCCGGGAATTTCCTCTGACGGATCGCTCAACCCAGAACTGTGGCGTAGTTCGTTGTTTCTCTTCTACAAATCCGTTCGCGTGTGTCGTATCGGGCATAGCTAGCACGTTGTTATCGTTGACTTCCATGAGAAAGAGTAACCGCGAAACATATGGTACCTGTTTGAAACACAACAAGGAAAGTCGAATCGAGTCATTAGTCAAACATCTGCTTGAAGAGACAGTGTTATTGGCTAGCGATTTCTATTGTTTGGAACTCACTTTCTTGCCGTCTTTGTCTAATGCTTGCTAACCGAGTATCAGAAATAAATTAGCTTCTTAAGGACTGTGTAAATGGCGATTTACGCAGTGTTGATCATTTCTTTTGAATGTATTGACTGCAAGCATCGGGAGCATGAATCGTGGTACAGAGAGAAAGAGAGTCAGCTACTCTAAGACACTCAGGTTGCCCACGTTTTTGCATGCGAAATTATTAACGTCTGTTTGTTTTTCATGATTGTAACTCATTTATTATTCACACAAATTAACCATCACATGGAGAAATTTTCAATTCAGTTTAGCAGCGCTAAATGGAAGAACACTAGAGAGTGCTTGTGATTGTCAGTAACCGCACTGACAATGGCCAAACAGTTATGAAGCGGAGAGATTTAAGCATATGCTCTTCAGCGGGTGCAGAGGTAACCCCGGCCCTTTTCTTCTAGAGCTAGTGACTCATTAGTTGTGTGACAAAGTATATATTTTTTTTCTCTTGTGAATTTTCCCTGAAAAAGAATAACTGGTTATTGTGTGGATTCACCTGCTTTAAATGTTTTCTTGTTGTGACGAATTTACTGAATAAACACTCGCTAACTGTCGTTTATCATCTTATGAGACTTGCGCATACAGAAAGATGCAAATTTTCGTTCACCTCAGCAGAGAATCTCTAATGTTCAGTTGAACAAATTCGCATCAATCGTTGAGATTTCAACAATGGATGCTAAGCTTTGTTTCTTTGTTGCTGTCACTCCCTTAGCTGAAAATTTCGAACTGTTCAATTTCACCTGGATAACAAAAGTCATGGAGATGCAAGTCGTTTTTTTTTTTTTTTTGTGGTTAACATTGTTGGTGTTTGAAATTGTATTGACTTTAGAAAAAGACGGCAGCTCCCTTTGCTGCCTTTAGTTAAAAATAATAATAATAAAAAAAAAAACATCAAATCAAATTATCTTTGTCGACTGTCCTACGGAACCTCGCAAGTTTCATTTTATTTCAATCTGCTTCCAGCCACTTAATTGCAAAAGTTCTGTGCCTTCGTGAGTTAGATTTATAGTATTTCTATTATCTCTTTTGCTATCAAATCACATTTATATGTAAATATTTTCTCGATATCTTCCCTGATCCTCACCTTGAAAATCATCAGAATGGAAATGCTCAAAACGGAATCCATCTAAGCGCTACTTTTCGAGGTTATAAAGATATTCCAACGATAAGTATTTTTATCTCATTTACGCCTCAGGGTTTAAACATAGGAAAAGTCTTTCTGTAAGAAATATTTTAAAGAAGTCCTATTTTCGATAAATCCAGCCATTTTGTAATTTATCAGGCTAATTCGTCAAACGATAATCCAAAGAGTCAGACGTAAACGTGACTTTGTATACCAAGCGATTAATCGCTGTTTTGTCTTATCCACATTTTTATATAACTCGCTGTCTGCATGACGTGACATCATTTTAGGGCATATATAAGCCGTTCACGTTTCATACTTATCACCGCATCGTTCTTTGAAGTTAATCTTTCAACGTTTATTTACTTTTTAGAGTCGATGTATGAATTAAAATTGAAAACCTAAAATTTTGAGAAGTAGGAGATTAAAAGAACGGCTAAAATCTTCGTTGGTAATATAAACTTGACCTTTAATTTTTGTTTAAAAATATACAGTTTAGATAGATCGTGATTCTTACGATTTTTTCTTTGTAATTTATTTGTTTTTTATCTTTTTTTGGAAATCGCTTTGATTATATAGGAATAGACAACCGCTCTCTCTGCTTAATTTTCTTGATTTATTAGTTTCCCACTAAATAATTCAGAGTAAATGTCTGCAGACCCTTTGAAGACCTGAGACACAAATAATTTTTATTCATGCTTTTCGTCACTTTAATGCGGAAGGGTATGGCTCACTAACTTTTCACGTCTACAAATCATCAATAAAACATCTTTGAATAATGCTTTAGAGTCTTCATATTTTTAATAAGCATGCACTTTCTATCAAATTCAAATGAATATTTTGCACAAGGCCTGACGAACAGGTGCTAAATTATGTATGAAGGACCTTCAAGTCCGCTAAATCTACAATATAATTACAAGTGAATCGGTCAAGGTCGCTGAATCGATTAACTTCTCGCTGTGTTCCTCTGACAAGAACAAAAGGAACTACTTTGGTTACTTCTAAAGCTACAAGCTGGCCATCGCCAGAAAGGTTCATTGATGATACTTTTGCATCTGGTGTGAACACAGTAAACAGCGTGAGTTTACTTTTGCACAGTCTCCAGAAACGAATCGACCGATCTTTAGAATCTAATCCTCCTGCGGTTGTCATCGCAACAGAGCCATCGTTGGTTGTGTAAATCCGATGAATAGCACCGAGGTGCGCATGCTTAAGCCTTTGAACACACGTTCCTTTTCCTACGTCATAGAGCTCCATTGTGCCATCAAACAAACCCAAAATCAAGGTTCTGGTTTCCGCGATTATGGCAACTGAATGAACATGGTGTTCCGTTTTTGATTTAAACAGGAGCCTTCCTGTATGCACTTCATACACAACTGCACTGTAGAGCTGGGTAGCAAGATTGTAGACTATATCTGAAAGGAGATTCCCATCTGCAGCCAATTGCATTTCTACAAAAGAAGGAAATCATTAAAATGTTGTCCATATGAGCAGTAAAGGGCACGATATTATCAATTACTTGTTGAAATCAATAGTGTTCGCAGGGTACTGCAATTGATCACTACTCCCTCTGAACGTGCCACTACTCATATAGAGATCTAATTTAGTCGCGATGAGCTTAAAAACTTGGAATGACCAATCTTACGTGGAGTATAACATTTGGGGGAAGACACCGATGTTTTCATGTAATATGTACCCATTGAACGCAACCTTTTAGGCCATTGAACTCATTGACTAATTGTGGAGATTTTCTTAGTCCTATGTACACGTACATAAACGCTTGGTTAATGCTTGCTTGAATTTAGTATCGCCTTGTTCTAATACTTATTCGTTACCCGTGTTTTTATTATCAGTCTTTTAAGGAGCGTTTAAGGACAAAACAGAAATAATTGAAATCACCCAGGCCATCATTGGTTGACTATTTGACACTTGAAATCATTCAGACTCACCACTGAAATCTGCCTGTGATTCTTCCAGGGTAATTCTTTGGATACACGTCTTCTCATTCATATCCCACACAGAGTAGCTATACCACGACCTAGCCTCATCATCATTTACGACGCTGTGCCCAGAAACACAGATTTCGCCATCTTGGGAATGGACAAGTCTTAACATAAAGACAACAATAAATTTTTAAGATTCATATATTTTAATATTATATTTAAGGCTGTCATTCGGTACTAAAAAATGAAATGTCAAGAGACCGGTCGATTCACGAGGAATCTGTTTCATATTTGTATCGGTTTACAGTCAACTCGCCACCACGAAGACTCGCTAACAGCTGGGTCGTCACCATCTAGTCGCCACCAGTAAACTCGCCACCAAGGTCGTTAGCTAATTTGGTCTAAATCCAAAGCTTTTGGCGACTCCTAAGTTTGAGCTTGAGTCTCGCGAGCATCGCCATAACAATGCCTTGGGCAATACTGTAGAGCCATGCTGAAGGCCTAATTGTTTTCTCAAGATGGGGGAAGGCGTCAAATGCGCGCAATGATCGAAAGCCACCAATTTGATCTGATCAAAGAAGATATCAAACGGAATATCGAACGAAGTCTAACCTGTAAATATTTGGAACGTTCATCAAAAGAAATTCAACGAAAGTTACTGCAACTTTCTAATCGAACGAACGAATGACACGATCGAAAAGAACTGTCATCGATCGCATGCATTTTTTGCCGACAAAAAGAGTGTTTGAAAACTCAAAAGGCGATCCTGATAACTTTTAACTCCATAACACTTGGTGGCGAGGTAACATGCCTTGTTGGCGAGGTCGATAAAACGATGGTGGCGAGGTCGATGGCGACGAGATCGATTATACTTTGTGGCGAGCTCGCTGGTGACGAGTCTTCCTGGTGGTCAGGTGACTGGGTACCTTGGTAAAGGTAAAAAAATTTAACGCTGTTAAAGAGCAAGAAATAATCCTAAGTTATCGTTTCCACTGACCTTCTAATATGTTCACATTCCAGCTGATCTATCCTTTTGCCATCACTGATGTCGAACACACATAGAGACCGCTGATCGTCAGATATGGCAATCACCTGAGCCTGTTTGTAAACAAAACAGCTGTTTGGTAGTCCTCCTTGACAGGTATCCCCATCAAATTGATGGATAAATTGTCTCTCGTTCATGTCAAATAAGTACATCTTTCCAGATGACACCAGAATGACTTCACTGTCGCTAACACAAACCACTTGAGGTTGTATTCCGTTTATAAACTGGATAAAATTTCCTTCTTGAAAGTCTATCAGACGTACTCCATTTTTCTCCCAACAGATCGCTTGGTACCCAAAGACACTGACGACTTCTACTTCGCCCTCCTCATCATTCTCGTCTTCCGGTGATGAAACGTTCCTTTCTAAATCCCACAGTCGAACGATCTTGTCCCGAGATGCCGTAATGACGTGATTAAAATCAACAAACTCCACTAGGTGAATAGTGCTTGGGTAAGTCAACATCTGTGCGGTAATGTCGCCAGATTCCAAGTCAAACACTTTTAATTCAGCCCGGAAAACGTTAGCATTTGGTAAAAACCTTGAGTTTCCCAATGTCAAAGCTTTTGATTTGTCGGACGATAATGCATAGCATCGTACTTTCTCTGACAGGTCTACAAGCTTACGAATTAAAACCTTCTTCGAAACATTCCAAAGTTCCAAAATGAAAAATTTGGTCTGAACGGCGGATCCCTTCCTCGAATCCGGTTCTCCTTCACACATCACTAAAAGTAACGTGTCAAAGGCTGTGACACCAATAAATTGTACCGTAAAGCCAGGACCGATCTGCATCTTCACCTCTACTTTACCGGTGTCCAAATTAGCAGCTCTGATCCAACTTCTTGAGGAAGCAACTCCGGATAATGTGCCCCTGCTCGTGTAGAGAACATTGTGATCATCAAGAGAACACAAAATAACCGGTAATGACATTGCACTTTCCTTTGGTAGCATATCGTCATAAATTTCTTTAATCTGATTGCCTGTATGCAAGTCAAATAGCTTGATGTGTTGGTTAAAAATCGTCACCAACACAACTGTATTATAGCCTTTAAAAACACAAATTGGCGCCACAACTGTAAGCTTCTCTAAGAGAAACACCCTTTGGCCGGTAGAAAGCCTCCAAGCAGATATGGAACCGGGCTTTGAGGTCACAACTGTTGAATTATCAGGGGTTATCGTCACAAACCAGACATCATCACCTAAAAGGCCACAGGAATAAAAAGAGGAACGACTTGAATGAACTGTAAAATGTGATAATGACAAGCTAGTGATCCTTGTCGAAAGGCGTTGCGGATTAGAAAAACTACAACGCTGCTGCTTTTGTATCATCATTTCTTCGAAAAAACGGAAATGTCTTTAAATTATTGTAGACCCAATCCAAAATAACTTCAGTTTCTGCAATTTTAATTTAAATTTTCGGGTAAAATATATTTCCAGTTGATGAAGAAAGGGTAAATGAATCTGGATGAAGTTCTTAAGACAAACTCTTACCCCGTCCTCAAGTATGAGTTCTAGGACCTTGGTCATCAACATAGAATCACTTTGTTGCGGTGGCAAGGAAATGCAATGGTAAATGTTTGTCTAGCCTGCAGAGCAGGCCTAATTTTGGCGAGTAAGTGCGCAGTATTTTCTTGGCGAAAATTACGGCCGCCATCTGTTATCTTAATGAGAGCGGAAGGCTGGGGAGAGAAAGAATTTTGTACCAAGGGGGTGGTCGACAGTCAGAAATAAAGAGAGGGGTAGGGGTAGGGGGATGAAGTTTACGCCTGCCCGAGGTCATTGATATTTTTGCAAAACTGTGTTTGCCCACGAATGGAGTTTCTGATTAGTGCGGTTAAACTCCAGCCGTCAATCACAAGCCAAATGTGTTATTTGGATATTTCGCTCTTGGAGGAAAAAGACAAAGATTGCGAACTCTGTCGATGAAAAAGTTGTTAGTTTCGATTCCGTTTTTGATGAAACACCTAATTGTGTCTTTCGGAATTTGGTATTTCTCGCACATTAAAATCGGAACAAAAAGAAGCAATTTCTACACTGGTTTCTGGAGAGGATCTACTGGCCGTGTTGCCAGCTAGCTTTAGGGAAAGCCTATGTTCCAGGTGTTGGTTCGTATGAAAAAAATTATGACGGAGAAAATGTTGTTGTTTGTCTACTTCGAAGCATCTTATACGACCAAATGGAAGAAAAATCGTCAAACGGATAAACGGCAGCTACAATCAAGGATTGTCGTTTCGAAAATATAGATTACAGCAAATATCAGCTCATATTTGTGACTGCGGAGGAGGTTTTGTCGATGCCATTTCTTTCCCGGCTGAAACAACTGCCGCACCTGTTCAATCATCGGCTCTACGTGTGTTTGTTTTTATCGGAAGACTGTGCTTCCGGTTTTTTTATTTAACTCATTTTGTTTGGTTACCTGCTACTTTCCGGAATGTAGTGACGCGCAACTCATCAGAGGGTGTTTTGCTTTTCAGCAGCCTCCTCGAGCAGGCATCTTTTCGCCTTCCCCGCCCCCCTTCCCCCCACCGCCTCTATCTTCAAACAGACATGGGGGGTTAGATAAACGATCGGGAGCTCTTAACGCTTACTCGCTCTCATAAGACGCCTGCACTGCAGGCTAATGTTTGTCATTTGTTATATTTGTCATATCAATCTAACTCAAGTCAAAAAGGGAATATTGAGACCTTACCTACTCCTTCCAACGTCCGAATCAATCTTCCTGACTTAATATCCCAGACCGAACAAGTTGTATCAACAGAAGCACTCGCTATTAGCTTTCCATCTGCACTTGCACTGATAGCGGATGATGGCTTTAGTTGCCCGGGCATCGAATGAACTAATGGTCCACCAGATGATGTTAAGCACACAGAAGTGGGTAAAAGACAGGGTTGCCATGGGTGTCGGGCCTGGTCCAGTAAAGCTTTTACATAATTCGATTCTGATGTTTTAATGCGTCCGAGTAGCTGTGTGGCTAGCTGCGCTGGATGTTGTAGTAGAGCAAAATTGGAAAGTTGTAAGGTTTCCTTCACAAGTTGGATGTCGTCGTCGACAATTTTCTCAAGGGCAAAATCAAAATCATCCATAAGGTCCCGGAGGGAACTTGATTCTAAACAGGTAAGAAGGAATGTGAAGTTACAAAGTACTTCTCGTTTTAATGCTTCGACGTTGTTGCACAACACCAAATGATAGGGGAGCTCGTTTATCTTGCGAAAATTGAAATTCTTTGACTCTTTGTTTCCCTCAAATGTCCACGGCTGATGAGAAACAAAACGGTCAGCTTCAAGGACTTGTCCTTTACTCGTCTGGTACGGCTTCCTTTTTCCGTTTGCCCACACACCCAAGAAATATTCACCTAAAGCCTGATGAGTAAATGTCCATTCCTCTTCTTCAGACAAGTATCTAGCTCTTGCGGCCTCGATAAATTGTCTGTGATACCAAGTGATAACACTTGCACCGTCTGCACCTCTGTCCACAAGGTAACCTGCCAAATCACTCCGTATACGGACCCAAAGCAACGGAGGGATACGTCTGATAGGTGGTGTCCAGTACTGATAAACGTCATTCAAAACGCGATCATCACAGGATAGTAAGTCCTCTATTTCAGTTCCAGTCAATCCGCTCTTTGCAGCAGTAATGTAAGCGAGGGCTTGCCGCACCAATACTCTTCCGTGCTGAAGCTCAATCCTCTCAAACAAAGCATTTACAGCGCCTATTTCGGCCAATATAATAGAAAAATCATGACTTGCACTGAATACGTGTTAACTCACCGAAACATTATTTAATGACATCTAGATTGTGGCCTTTAATTGATACCAACATTAGGTTTCGTCTAACAGTTAAGTTGTTATGAAGTCCATTGATACACGTGGATTTGTCGTGTCTCTACCTAGATTGAAGTAGGCTCAGTTCCAAACACAGTAACATAACTAACATTTGTTTACCTCTGACTGTATCTTGAAGTACAGTCTCGCTGGGCGAAGAGTAGGACTTCCATCTCAGGGCTTCATCAAACGCGACTCTGATAAAGATTGGGAGAGAACACTTTTGAAGAGATTCTTTAACAATGACTTCCTGGTTGGAAGAGAGAATTCTGCCACCACCATTAAGCCAATTGCTGAGAATCTGGAATGCGTCTTCTTCCGGTAGCTTTGGGACCTCTATAAAGTTCTCTTCTTTGAGTAAAGACTAGAAATGAAACGAGGTAGCATATATGTTATATACCGAGCGGGAGATCCTTATGGGAAACAACTGCGCTCGATGCCCGGAGTACAGCTCGTAATTAATTTGCAAGTTTTTGGCCTTCTTACCCTCAACTGACGCATTCCTTTTAAAACACCTCTATGATGTAGGTTACTGCTACAGTACTTCTATTAATATCTTGTGTGATGCAAAAGCATTATATACAACCATTCAAGTACTAGATGAAGAACAGTATTTTGAGCATGCTTCTCATTGCTTTACATATAGTAGCAATTAAGTAGAGTTTAACTTTGAAGACTTCACTTTGGGCCGAATTGATCGTAGAAACCACTGAAGTAAGAATGTTTGTGATACCGTTCGTTTCACATGATTAATTGGAAATGACAAACCTCTAAAATTGGAAAGCACTCGTATTGGCCGTCAGGTAAAGTAGACACAACGAGTTTAACGTGGCCTGGGAGAACTGTAGGTAACCAAGTCAGTTGTCTTGCGTTATCTTCTGGTCCAAACTGATCCAGAGAATCAAGCAAAACGAAAAGCGGTTCGTCCGAGTTGGCAAAGCTAAGGCAGGTTATGAAATCTTCCTGCAGCTCTTTCATGTCCTGTGAAAAAGATGAGAAAGAAATTTAATTCCATAATCCATATCGCAGTGAATCGTTATCCGTATATCCATCTTTTAACTGCAATCTTGACATCTTTGCAATCAATCTTTTGAGTCACGAGATTATATTATCTTGTTTGAGTATGATGATGTTTTCGCACGCCAGTCAAGACTCAGAAGAATTAACAAAAAGGTCTTGATAAGCAATATGGGGCACGATCAAATTTGAAACACGTCAATCCAAAAAAAGCGCGCCTTTCCAAATTAAATATACACACCTGTCTGATTTTGGTTGGGTCTCGGCCGTAGATAAAGCAAATTTGTTGGCAGACACTGTAAAGCAGAAGACGAACTTGAGAAGAATTTGGCGTTGTTCCAATGTATCGAATGACAATGTTCGATTGACTGAAACAATTCCAGACTTCTTTGGCTGCCATAGAAACCACTGAGGTCTTGCCACACCCTGACTGACCGTGAATCACGAGCGGGTCACATCTATCATCCTAAAAAGTATATATTGTAAAGACCTGGTACGCAATTTTAAGAATGCTGATTGTTGAATTTATTTGTACTTTTGTTTCCACAAAATTATTGTTGAATACAGTGAAAGGATTAGATGTAATGTAGCGCCAATGCTAGCGCAAAATGTTTACCTGGAGATAAGCTTTGCATCGATCTAGGATTTCTTTCCGTCCGTAAAACGCCTCGCACTTGGTCTGGCAAAACTTTAAATGTTGCACAACTTCCTCGTACAGCGGATCACTAACATCCTCTCTGATTCTCTTGTTTATGGAGTGAATGATCTTTTCTTTCATCAAATATTCAACTTCTCTACACAAGTTGTTTATATATTCTTCGTGCTCGGGTATCGTGGAGGGAGAAATCCCTTCAGAGTTCCAGTCAACTTCAAATCTCCTGATGTTTAAGGCAGGTACGGCCAATGTCACAACGTCCTTAAGATGCTGCAAACGAATTCAAAGGATGGCGTCAAGACTCTTCGACAAAACAGGTCCATGATATACAAGCTATCAAACTCGTATAAAACGAGTATAAAATGAGTGTAACTGCGGCCGTTTTCCTTTAAGATCAATTTTTTGAGGGATGTTACAGGACTTTTCCTTGATGCTCCCCTCCTAGTGTCATATTTCTCCTTCCACGATAGTTAATAGAATCTGGTATAAATTGGAATAACACGCTCCAGTACTCTCATCACCTCTTTGCTTGCATATGTTAACGTTAAAAGCAGAAGGAACAATTTCATCACTTCGGGGAAAGAGATATAAATGATCAATTTTGGGTCTTCTCTACTCTGTTGTTATTAAAAGGCTCAGCCGATGCGCAAACTGTTTACCTGTAACATTTCCTGCGCATCAGTGTCGATCTCCTTTGTATCATACTTGATGTCAATGAAGTAATGGGCATTTTCACTCTGCAAGTTATACTCGAGGTCCTGGATATTTCTATTTATCCACAAGCAATTTTCATCCGGGTTTGGCCCGCATAGAACACCACTACGAATCTCGCTTTCGGTCACTACAAATAAAATGGGGGCTTTAAGTAAGACACACTCCTTACCATCGAGATATGATCCTCATTCGTGATTCCTTTGTGTATAATCCTCTTAACTGAGATGCAAATTCTTCATCTTATGGCCAATGCAAAAAGCCGTTTTAACTGTAAACAAATCCGGAGCCTTCATTCCACGTAAAGCAGTCAGGAATTTTGTGAAATGAAGGGACGTTAAAAGTAGTTAAATAGCCTTAAATGAGATCAATCTCGGAGTGGCTCGAACGAAACTATTCTTTTAAAAGGTTGCCATCGCAGAGAAAGTAATCAAAAAAGGGCCAATAACAAGCTCACTTCCGAAAAGACAGAATTTTAATTTTTTTAACATTTAATTTTTATTGATAGAGCCTCGGGTGAAACTTATTAAATTTTGCCATTTCCACATTGTAGAAACATACATTCCTCTCCTCTAGTCCCACATTTCCACCGCGTCATTATTTCTTATCTAAATTACCTAAACAAAAATCATGATTTCTGCTCCTTCAAACCCTTTTCAATTTGAAGTATTCCCTTTAAAAATGTCGAATTTGCGGATAATCTCCGTTTATCGTCCACTTGACCATAAAGGTTTCTTACCCGACATGAAATACTTGTGCAATTCGCCAATACTTGCAGCTCCATGCAACTTTTTTGCCTCTCGTCTGAGAATGTCCTGAATCTGAGAAAAAACCTGACTCCAATTCTGCAAAGCGACTTTCCTCTGATCAGCATCGTGACAGAGGCTATTAGGAATGTGATAGCTGATTGGCTGCAGAACGTACATCGGTGGTACTGCGTTCATGTCACATTTAAACCACTTTTCCAGCAGCGCTTTCTCCTCTTTGTCTTTCATTTGACTGAGGAGCTCTTCAAATTCTTTTAAAGGTATTTTGGATGGAATCGGGCGGAAACCGTACTTTTGGCCTAGAAATGCCTAATGTTAAGAAAACGGGAAATTAGCAAGGAGTTTGTCAGTCAGTTCAGTACGATTTGTTGGTAAGATTCTGTTGTAAGATGTAGTCGTTAGCACATAGGCACAGACCGAGCGTTTGGTGCGTGCCATGCCAATTTCTATACAATCACGATAGAACCATTTCGCTCAGCATGGCGCCGTCTCAGTGTTCCGAAACAACACTGGAGACTTCACGTATAGGCACATAATGGATTGTAGTTATATTTACCATAAAATTAGGTCCAGTTGAAAGGTCCTGACAGGCCTTAAGTTCCTTTAAGCACAGTTCCAGTGTGGAGTGATCATCAGTGGACTCGTCACGGACACCCCAACGCATATCAACGACCTGAAGACAATAGAGGTTATTATTAGCATTTGTTGAAGACTGAGTATAGAAGCAGTAGCTGTCTCCTCCAAGATTCTAATGGCTCTTGGTCGAGCGCTTAAATTTGACAAACCTGAAACTCGTAACCCTTCTCCTGAGCAAACTCCTTTAATTTTGGATAGATTCTCTCCATCAGGGCGTTCCTTTCAGCCGCCATGTCTAATCAAAGACAGAAGCATTGGAAAAAATTGTGCTAAATATATCAGGGAAACTCTTCGTATAACCATTATAACTCGTCCTCATAAGGATATGGGAAGTTCGTATACCACAGGTCTCTCACATTATTTCCGTTAGGATAGGGTTTGAGCCTGGAACGGTTGATCTGAGCCCTAAAGCACAACTAATCTCTCTACTGCGCCAACTAATCAACATTTTTTAATGCAAACTACCATAATTTCACTAATCGGTTAAAGAAAAAATCTATACGATCCTCGTGGTTTAGTTGAAATGCTTATAACTGCTAAGAGCCAAAAAGAGGTCGTATCACACTGCAAAAAAACAGCGACAACGACAGTATCAATAGTGGTAATGATACCATTCAATTAGTTGATCACGAAAATATAATAGCAATGGCAATGGTAACGACTACGATGATGAAATATTTTACTTTAATGACAACAGTAATAACCTGTAAATGTAGAACTGGTAAAGATGCGGATAATCTTGGCCCTAGCGGTCAAACTTTGTTCCAAGTCTCCACTCATGACTCTTTTATATCGTGCCAAAAGCTCAGGAGACTGGTGCAAAGTACTCCTTGTGGCTGCTGACGAAGCCCTGGACTCTGAGGATGTAGGGTCAAATATGACAGAGCCAGGTGACAAGATCGACATTGCATTCGTTTTGCTGCCAGAATCATTTGATGCCCTGCATAATCAAATTTAATTTATGATCAAGAAACGTTCTTAAACAGTAACCTGCTTACTGAATTTCGGACTCTGCCTACCGTCCTCCCTCTGGTTTCTTTTGCAAACGTTTTTGTGGGTTGGCACGCAACATTCTCCGGCAGCATTGCGTGACATTCCAAAAAAACATTTGCTCGCTGAGGAGAATATCATTTCCCAGATCGAGTCTCCCTTCTCCTAATGCTACGGTCCTTCTTATTTGTCCATTCTGGCAGAAATACGTGCATCAAAATTGCTAGTAAGGATGGAAGGTTTGGATATATGCAGAGGTGGTCCAGATCTCCTTCAGAAGCCTCTTTTATCAAGGATTCTAGAAAAATCAACCATAAAAAGGGCCTTTCCTTATCATGGATAGGCTGTTTAATTGGTGTAAATGTCTTGCTTCAGACTATGAGTTTATTTACCTTGTTGAAGAGGGAGATGCATTTTTATGCTTGATTTGTTTCAGCGAACTTGAGCAAGCTGCACCCATGTGGAGCACTTCTTACGTTAGGCAAGAACTCCTTGACTTATCCAAAATGACCACTAGATAGGATTAGGAAGTGATGGTTTAACTTTCATGAATAATCATCATAAAGAACAACTGTATATTCATGTCTCAAAATCAAACCCCAATGACAGTCTATTTTTCTGCAAATCATTCTCTTGCCCCTACAGTTTTTTGCCAAGCTCAATTTTTTTTTGGCAAGAGAACAGTCCAAGTTATTGTTTAAAAACTAATTAAATTTCTTTTTGAGTTCGGTATCTTCAAAGCTTTGAATTGACGTGGAAATTAACCGTAGTTTGCTTCTGCACACATACTGACAGTAGAATACAACACGTGAGTATGAAAGCGATCTTCGCAATAATGAACACTACTTGAGCAGTACTAGGCCTGAAAAAAATGTTCAGGCCTGTACGGGATTTGAACCCATGACCTCTACGATACCGGTGCAGCGCTCTACAAGCTGATCTAACATGCCAACCGGGAGCTGGTCATTGTGTTGGTTGCAAATAAATCCGTGAGGTGGTGAATAAACGACTGTGAATATATGAAAGTCATATATTTGAATTGCGGATAAAGACGTGAATATGAAAGCGATCTTCGCAGTAATGAGCACTACTTGAGAAGTAGGGAAAACAAGGCCTGAAAAAAAGTTTAGGCCAGTACGGTTCAAATCCCGAACAGGCCTGAACTTTTTTATCACAGAAGTCATGGGTTCAAATCCCATACAGGCCTTATCGCTCTCATATTCACGTCTTTATCCGCAGTTCAAATATATGACTTTCATATATCGACAGCACGTTTGAATCACTAATGCATAGCCATGCATGACACACATTTGGTCCTATGCGGAATTTTCCAATGAATTATGTTTTATCATATATCTTTTCCGTAATCACTCAGTGTATTCATTGCTACTGGTTGCTGCAGTAACGATAAATTGTTCAAATTACCGGTGAAAAGGAGGAAAGGACTGACAATGCTAGACGCCGCTCCTTACATATAATAAAAGTGAACTACTTGCTCAGTAGTCACATCTAAATCAACAACGGGTATATTAAAACTTGTGAGTGCGATAAAATTACACACGTACGTATCATTACTTGTTTAACTACTCTAAAATTCAAGTTCTGAGCTCCTGGACAAACGAAAAAAACTGTTAGAATTCACGTATTTTATTTGAGTAGGAAGAGCATGATATAAGCAATGTTTTGATCGTGAATTGTCTTTTGTGTCGACCGCCTGAAGACCCGTAACTTATCTAACTTACCAGCAGTAACTATTACGGTTTCGTACGCAATCACTAACACCGTTGAAGTGAGAGTACTCGCTGTTTGGAACTATGAATAAAAATCGTTTCTAACTGTTTAACCAAACTACCTATAGAAATCCCGTTATCTCTCACATGTCCGATGCAGCGCCGCCCAATTTATTCCATTGTTCAACATATAAATCCAAAATGTAAACACCTCTGAAGCGTTCTTCTAACAATTAGTCGTGATAATGAGCGAACAATCTAGTTTTTAGATTTAAGTCTTACCAGAAGCTAATGTATCTCTTAATCTTTTCCCACATTGTTGCATTTCAACCACCCAAGCTTTCCACCGGAGTGCATTCCTCAAGCACTTACGATACACAGTGTTCAAAGCGTGAGACACGCAATTGCGATTGTGCAAATACTGGACACAAGGATTGTTGCTTAGCAATTTCAAGTGTGATGATCAATTGTCCGTGAAAGTGAATTCACTAAAGACCTGCTGAGCATAAAAAATGTATGTGATCATAACGATCACTGGTAAGCATACCACATCAGTAACGGAGAAAATACAATTTGTTGTGTGGTCAATAATGTAAGAACTGCAGTTGAACCCCGGTAACTCGAATTGTCAAGGAAAATTGATATCGGAGTTTCGAGCTACAGGGGTTTAAACAATAAAACCAGAAACACTTGATTAAAGAGGTTTTATGCTTCTACATGTTTCAGTGTAAGATTTCTAGCAATGTAAAAGTATAAAAACGACAAAACAAAACAAAACAAAAAAAGCATGAAAACCACAAGTACTTTAAAGTAGCTGCTTTTCAGAATGTTTAGCGCTAAATCTCACTTTAACGTGTGATGTCGACAAAGGTCAATTTGTCATAATATATAAATGAGATTAAATGTGATCTTCCGGTGCAAACTGATATTATGCGGGCTCATTAGTTCACAAAAGTGAAAATCGAGGGTAAAATTATTGAGACAAGTACCTGAAGGGGAGTAAAGATCGCTTCGAGTTAGCGGGGTTTTAAGTTATAGAGTTAAAATTACAGTAAATATGCGAGGCAAATCCAAGGGAAATCAGTTTTGTTTCGAGCTAGCGGGGAATTCAGTTCGAGTTACCGAGGGTTCGAGTTATCGGGGTTCAACTGTAGTCCATTCGTCTCTGTTTAGCCGGTGTATGGCTTTGCGTCTGTTTTTTTCCTTCTTACGTTTTCTTCACTTATCTGTAAAGAACTTTGATTTTTAGCACAAAAAAAAGCTGTCTTTGAACCAATTTCCTAAACTTGTGCTCAATCGAGAGGTTTTTAATTACTTGAGAGCTACACGCTGAGAACTCACTTCGAGGATGATATCATCTAGCACTGAGTATAAGAACAACTTTCTAATCACCGCCTGATAGAAGTTTAACAACACCACCTTACCAATTATTTCCCTCATTTTGAATCACAATAAGGTAGGACTGTCTTTAATTGCGACCCTCTTTCTTTCATTTCAACTCATATTTGATTCATCGCCCCTTGCATCTCACAAAGTCAGCAGCCTCTGCTTTAATTTGGTTTGGCCGCATGAAGATCGTTCCACGTTTTTATAGCTTCAAGCAAAAAGCGAAAGGATTTCCGTATGACCCCACACTTAACAAGGGAAACAGTTCTTGGGTAACAAAAGAAAAACCCCAATTGATTGGGGTTACACGGAAACCTTTCCCAGAAAAGTACTTGGAGAAAAGAAAATAGTAAAATGTTTGCGCTCAGGTTTCCGTAAGTCGAAAGAAATTGCCGAGCCACCGAGTAACGGACCAATCCTAGTATGACGGAGCAATACAAAAAGCCATACCGTGTGATATCTATCCAACAGAAGCAAGTGGGTGTGTGGCGTGATATACATAAATTATTGAGAAAAACACCGACAAGCCTTTTGAAAGAAAAGGAAAAGGGCTATGTTAACTCAAAATCCAGCAAATAAACTTACGCTCTTTCCAACGATCTTTTGTAAGTCGTATTCCTAGTATTATTCCTGCATAGTGGTATGTAAATGGTTTTACCGCACCATCATATCTATTTAGTCTACAACAGGTAGCGTTCGAACGTATCGTCTGTTTAGAAAAGCCTGAATTCGAATCCACTGTGATTATCTAGGAAATGTATATCCAATTCTATATTTATCAAGGCAGTGCCACACTTCAAAAGAAAAACACGGACATACCTTTTATCTTGAATGAGCTTTTGATAAACCTCCCCTCTCCCAGGCAGTACTGGACGTTTTATCATTGAAACAATTCTGAACGCAGATGACGTAACACAAGAGCAACGTAACCCCCCCCTCCCAAACTCCACCACCACCACCACTACCAACACACGGTTTGAAAATTGAATGATAATAGATTTCACAGAAAAATAGAGACCACAAAAGAAAAGCAAACAACATCAAAACGCTAGATCCTACTTTGTGTGAAGAAATGTAAATGATATAAAACTGAAATGAATTGGCAGACCGGCTTCATGTGCATGAAACACCACAACAAGTGAAGCAAGATCTTTTCTTTTACTAATAAAACTTTTGGTAATTACAAAAGATTTCAACTTCACCGCAAAAACATGTCGAAAATTGGTACTTCCAGTAACGGACGAGGTTTCAATTGGAGTCAAAATAGTGCTATGATGAGGATATCGTTTGACGCGGTTTAAAACACCGACGATTTTCCTTTTTTTTATCATTACTTCATTGCCCATCTATGGACGAGATGTACAATATGCTTAGTGAAAATTATTTTGTAATTATTTTAACATTAGGATTCGTGTTGCTCAGCGATAAAAAAATAATTAGACAGTAAAAAAATGCTCATCGTAATACCGGTGAATTAACAATTCACGAAAATGACTGCAGACATTTGTTGCGGTGTAGTCAAGGGATCTTCAATATTCTGTAGAACTGTTTAGATGCTTTAAAAAACTTAAGCTCAAAAATTCAGTTATCGGTAACCGTCTACCATAAAGTATGCCAGTAATCGCTTTAACTTTCATATTTTTGTTATTTTAAGAAATCCTAATTCAGTTTCGTAGCAAAAATCACCACCAATGAAAGTTATACTGTTCTGGATTACTCTTCTTGCGTACAGAATCAGTGTTTCGGAGCGACGGAGTTCATTAATTCATTTCTACATAATTGGACGGAAACAGTCCCCGACTTCCGTTACATGTTCCCATCCACCATCCTTCATCCACTTCCTCAATGTCAGTGATGACGTCACCAGGGTCAAATGATATCTCATCCTCAGCAGCTAGAAATGAATTGTGGGAGTTAATGGCGGTGTCTTAAGTCCAGACGGTTTGCAGAATGGAAAATCTTGTAAGTTGCGGACAGCTTAGTGAGGAGAAAGACATTGAACAGAAGAGCACTGCACTAAGGTAACCATTTAAACGACCAAGAGTTCAGCTACTAACTTTAAATGCTATTCATGCCAAATTCTAATTAGCTTCAAATTTCGCTTTGCACAAGTTGCCGAAAAAGGTGAACATTTCACTGAGATTTAGGAATTGTGCATTTCAGAGCTCGGCAAAGTGCTCCCTTGTGTGGCGAGAAAAAGTAATAACATCTCAGATAGAAAAACTTACTTGCTTGATAATCATACAGAGCTGTCGCATTCTTTCCTTCGCCTCCTTCGCTAACCTTCAACGGGTACAAAAAGAAATATTACGCTAATAGTGGATGTGGGAACAACGCGAGTTCTGTCACTCCTTAATTGCAACCGCCTGGGTGGTAATAGTACTGAAAACACTCGCAACTAACAATAGTCCCTTTTACGGCCGCATTCACTCGGGTATTATCAAACTACAGGTTCTCGTAACTTTGCGCTTTTCCGAAATTTGCACCAACTACGTGATCAATTCCTCTTCCATTGAGCCACCTTTGGCTGAACAGTGCAAACTGTAGGGGTAAACTATACTTTTAGCTGTGGTATCTATGTTTCCTTGTACCTCTTCCTGTGTTGTTTGCTGTTCTTGGGTAACTTCTTCGTAGAAATCTGTAGGTTCTGATTCATATCTTGGTTCCCCTGTCTCTTCATAGGTCGCTTCAGCTTCGGTTTCTTCATACTCTTGCTGTGCTTCAGCTTCTTGTTGTTGCCTGGCCGCTTCTTCCTCTCGCCAAGCTTCTTCCTCGGCCTGACGTTGGGCTTCCTCCTCCGCCTGACGACGGGCTTCCTCCTCTGCCTGACGACGGGCTTCTTCCTCAGCCTCCTCTTTGTCGCGTGCCTCTTGCTGAAAATGACAACATACATGTAACACGAATCATAATATTGTACACTCGCCGCATGAGAGCCTTGCTTGACGGCCAGTTCTCTTTAGCACAGTTGGTAGCTACATGCCACAACCTCCGAGGAGTTACTGTAGAATCCTAATGGAGGACTAAGATTACATTCGCCCTTTGTTGGTTTTCAAATCTACGATCAGATCTAAAGTCAGACTCATATAGTTAGCCACTTTGCCACATGTACCCAAAGTCGAAATAAAGCTTGGTTGATTACCTCTGCATGCCTTTTTTCGTTGATCTCTTTCTCTCTTTGTTCTCTCGCCTGTCGCCGAGCTCTCTCTTCTTCTGCTCGTCTCTTGTTTTCCTGTAATAGAAAATTATTGGCATTTTGGGGAAACGGAAAATAATTAAAAGGAACTCAAAATGACAAGAAAACGTAACAGTTCTTTAGTACGGTAATCGTCAACAGACCTCCTCTTGCTCTCGGGCTAAGTTCTCAAACTTTGATTTCAAGTTGCCTGCTGCTCCAGACCCTGTCGAATGCAAATATTGAATCATATATCGAAACAAAAACAAACAAAAAAAAACAAACGGGCCCATAATTGGGACAGTGGTCATATCTTTTCTGCTCCAGCTTTATCGCGATTGCGGTTTTCCCCATTCATACATTTTCTGAACAGGATGGAGTTTATTTGAACGAATACTTTTTCAGTAGGACGGAAGAATTCTCTCTTGCTTTGGCTTTCACAAAGAAATAAAATTGGATAATCTGAAAGCTTTAAGAGTCAACCATCGCCATGATTATTCTTGAAAGGGGGAAGAGTAAAAACCACTAAAACATAATTTTTGCCATGGCTGTTCCCGTCCCCCCCCCCCCCCCCCCAAAAAAAAAAAAAAAAAAAAAAAAATAAATGTTTGGATAAACAACGATATAGCAAAAATTCTTTTTGTTTTTAGTTCATGTCTCCATTCCCCAAAAAGAAGAGGGGCGGTTCTTATATGGCTAATGTATTTCCCATAATGTAAGGGGACCTTGTCAGGGGCTTTACTCTGTGGACAAGTGGGTGCCACTAGACCTGGGTGAATTATTTTGGACTTGAGTAGGGAGTTAAAGTTCACACACCTGAAGTGATCGTATTTTTGAAAATCAAAGTATGCTTAGCTAGTTTAAAGTTTCTAAGACAAAGCCTTGTGAACAGAGCCAACCTGCACGTGGTTTTGCTGTCTGGTAAGTTGATTTTACTTCTTGCATTTCATCAAAACCTCCAGCAGACTGAAGAGTAAAGATATAAATTAGCACAGGTCACTTGCAAAAAGTTTTGCTTATCTGTAAGATCGCGTTACTCCTCTGAAAAACTTCAAACTAACTTCTATGCTTAGGGATGGAGCGAGACAGTTTCAAACAGTAAAGCTGAGCTAGGATGTTGGAAATATTCTAGGAAAACGAACGTATCAGTATTCATTGATCACACTTACTGCATCTTGTCTATCAGTCTGGACACCAAATTTACCACCGAAACCTTTAGAGTGATCTGAAGTACAGTGGAAGGGAAATTAGCTGTGTTCATGGAAAACAAAGTAGTTAAACTTCCCTTCGTTCACCACTTGTGGGCATACAAATACAAAGCTGTTGTAGAGAGGTGACCATCTAAAGAAGTTTTAATACCAGGGAGGATTGTTTTAGGTAGTGTAAAGACAAAGTCTCAGGTGACCCATGGGGGAGAACTTCACGTGTAGCGGCACTAAGGTACAAATGCATTCACCTTTTCAATCCCTGGGGTGACTAAAAGTAATTCCTCCAAACAATCGGTAGATTTTCAAGCAGAAAGGTGACGAAAAGTACTAAAATAACCACTGGGAACAACATTTAATTTCACTTCAAATTCTCAGGTCTAGAGTAACACGACATGCATGGCAGACAAGATGGGAAGTTAATATTTAGATCTTGAGTGTGAAGGGGTTATTAAGCAACACGTAGTTGTTGTGCCGAACTTCGACCTAAATAGTCTGCTCATATGATTTGCTTATTAGAGCGCTTTATGACAGAGTGTCGTAAAACCATACTCAAAGTAATCACAATGGCCAGTCAGAAGAGAGTAAAATGTGACCCTCCACGGGAAAACGGACACTAACGCTTTTCCGTTAAACGGTCTCGAAAAACGGTTGTAAACGGATAGTAAACGGTTAACTCGAGCGTTTAAACGGATGCCATAACCGCTTAAACGGATGGCAAAAAATTTAAACGGTTGACCAAAGTCCAAAAACGGATAGCTTAGGCCTTCAAACGGTTGACCAAAAATAAAAACGGATAGCACGAAACGTTAAACGGTTGACCAAAGTTCAAAAACGGATGGCTCACACTGTTAAACGGTTGACCAAAAATAAAAACGGTCAGCCCGAAACGTTAAACAGTTGACCAAAGTCCAAAAACGGATAGCTTAAACCGAGAAACGGTTGACCAAAATCGACAAACGATGAGCTTAAAATTAATGTTTAACGGCTGTGGTTGAGCCGGCGAGATCTTCTGCGGAAAAACTTTCAGAGTGACAACGGATAATTATCCTTTAAAGCGAAAATATTGAGCATTATAATTTGAAAAGTAATAACTAGCATATACTTGCGCATTTTATTTCTGGGTTAATTACTGCCGCTTTCGTGTGACATTCATGAAATAAGCGCAATTTACTGAGAATAGTTTCGCTGCCGAAAATCCTGAACGGCTACCGCGAGAAACTCATAATCTTCGCCTTTGTTTATTCGTATTAGTATTGAAAATGAACTTCATTTTTTCCTGTTCGGAAGTTTCGCGAAACAAATTCGCATATGCAATGCCGCCACCTTGTCTGAAGCCGAGATCTTTCAAGGTCAAATAACGCAATGAAGTTCCATTGCAAATAAAAGGTCGAATCGGTGTCACGCACCAAGCGGGGCCGTTAAAATGATTGTCAATAAAACCAAGAAAGATGAATCAAGATGATATAAACAGAGAGAGAGAGTAGCCGATTTAACTTGTTTGTCAAAGGATGCGACGGAAACTCGCTTACTATGATCACGCAAAAGATAAAACAAAAATAAGATACGGTCTTTCTGTATTTCAAGAACCGGCGAGTATCGAGCGAACGTAAGATTGATACTTCGAACTGCCTGTAACAGAATGATAGGCAAACAGTCCAAAACTTTCCGTGGAACTTTAAACGGATAGCTTTTTTTTTTAAACGGGTAAGCAAACCGTTTAAATGTTTTTGCTGGAGCTTTGAACGGATGCAAATTTTTTTAAACGGATGCAAATTTTTTTAAACGGATGAGCAAACCGCTTAAACGTTTTGGCAAAAGCGTTAAACGGATGCAAATTTTTTTAAACGGATGAGCAAACCGCTTAAACGTTTTAGCTAAAGCGTTAAACGGATGCAAATTTTTTAAACGGATAAGCAAACCGTTTAAACGCTTTCATGAACCGTTTAAACGGATATAAACGGATAGTAAACGGTTTTGCAGCTTAAACGGAAAAGCGTTAGTGTCCGTTTTCCCGTGGAGGGTCACAAATATCTTTAAGAGGCAATGCGAGCTCAAAGTAAGAACAACCAAACAACCTAAAGCGTGGGAAAGTGTGGCCGACCAAGTCGTGATTGGTTTTAGTTTTGCATCTGATTGGTTAAGAGAGTAGCATGGGGTTTCTAGACTGATCACAGAGCGAAAAGCGAAGATACTTTATTGAAAATTGCTCTATTTATTCTTGACTTGAAAACATTTCTACATGTACGTAATGCCTCATAAAGGCAGAAGCAAGACTATGACTAACCTTTCTGAGAGGCATGTTCCTCAGTTTTGCCTTGGTATTCAAAGCCCATAGCAGACTGAGGAAATAAAATAAACATGTAAGGTACTAAATCTGGTGTGAATTAAAGTGGATTTTCATTCTAAAAGAAAAATGTTTAGTAAATTGACCTTGTCAACTCTGTCTGTTTGTACTCCATATTTTCCTCCAAAGCCTTTTGAATGATCTGAAAAAAATAAAATAGTGAATAGTGACAGACACACTGCTTCCTACAAGCTAGTCCCAAATTGCTTTCAAAGTTGCATCACTGATTATCATTTTTAAAGGTACATGTGTACATGTGTATGTTGAGAAGAATTGTTTTGCAACAAAGAAGAATTCACCTCTGTCAAGAGAAAATATCTTTGATAAGGTGAAAGCCCTTAAAGGTGAGATTTTAAAAAAAATTAAAACACACCTTTTTGTGAAGCATGTTCTTCTGTCTTTCCTTGGTATTCAAAGCCAACAGCTGCCTGAGGAGAGATTAAAAGAACAAAATATTGTCATCATAAAAAAAGGTTATATTAATTTTTTGCATCATGCTTAAGTTTCAAATAGCACCTAAAAGTCCATGAAGAACTCAAATCTAAAAGTACTAAATAAACAGGAGTTATCTGAGTCATAGGGACACAGGTGTCAGATCATTTGAGAAGAAAAAATATCTTCAATTACACCATATTCATTAGGTTTATCAAGTGACCTTTTTACAATAGTTTTAACAGTGTTAAATCAGACAATAAGGCAATGTCTAAAATTATCAAATTTGTGCTCTGGATTTTTTGACAATCTTACTATGCCAATGAAGGCTTAGAATATTGTTAGGGAATGCTGGGGAAAATGATGGATACGTCGTCTCACAAAGACTAAATCAAGATATTTAAGAGTCCTTTTTCGTCTTGTTGCAAAAGTTGGTATGAAGCCATACAAAATTTTATACCACTTACTTTCTCAAAGCTAAACAATTAGAAACACAGGAATAATGGGCGCAATTTTAACATGATCAAGGCAATTGCCAGTTAAAATATAAATTAAATCACTTATAATTAAATGGAAACAAAAACACTTTTAGAAACATGTTTTCCTTTTTCATCAAGCTACATTTGATTTCATGACAATCAAAAGATTACAAACACAATGACAATTAGAATGAACTTCCACTTCATGAAGTCATTTTGTTAAATCAGTTTTAATAGGCAATATCAATTCCTGTACAAGTTACAATCACATCTAAAAGCTAAAAGAAAATATGATTTGATTGGAAGGTGTGAAGAGAAAAAACTCAGAGGCTGTTCCTTGCTCCTCCAGCTGGTTCATTCAGCTTCAGGCTGTTTGGGGATAAAACAAATTTTATATCAATAAAACTCTAAATTTAAAGTACTTAGTTATATACCAACATGTACCTAAGTATGTTTGTCTAACTAACTAAAGTGTAACAACCTATTTCTAAGTCTGTTTTCCTATTTATCTATCTATGGTACCATTATTCCATTTTTCAATATTTTAAGGAAATGCAACAGAAATTATTTGTTTTTTTGAGTGGATGGTGAACTTGTGATGTTGTATTTTATCTTTTATTGGTTGTTGTTCAAACAGCAGTCAGTTAGTTTTCTACTACACAAGGTTAAAAGAATACAGTCATGTACATGTATCTCAGATTTGAAGGAGGTTAGGTTAAAGCTGGATGAAACGTACAATGTATCTGGTTGATTAAGAATTATGATGTAGATTTAAAATAACTTTAAGGTAGCTTTTTCTTCAGGTTGCCCTGTACAACTCTTGGTCTTGTCCCTGTGCAACTTGCTTCGTGGTTCATCTCTTTATGCTACATGTATGCCCTCCACACTACTTTATTGTTGTTTCAAAGACAACTCCTTCCTATTTTGTAGTTCACTGCCATTCACATGTAAATGTAACATGGTGAATATACTTTTTCCAGGACAAACATTGTTAATTGCTAACTATAGCCATAATTTTAGGTCACTGGGTATGATAGAGTCACTTGGCAATTTCATCCATCACTATATATTGCACTTTGCTCTTCTCAACAAAAACATGCTTTTAGATAACCTCTTATTAATAATATCATGTTGATGAAAACAGAGAGAGAGGGGGGGATTGCTATGTCCTTGATGTAGAAGAATCTGAAATGATTGTCTTTGAATGAGGTCTACTACAACACACTATCAGTATTTCAACTGCTTAACCACAGTGAGTGTCATCAACATACAGTTGACTAAATGATGTCATTTGCACTTTAAATCAACCGTACTACATGGCTTCTAACTACTCTAAATTCCATTTCACTGGGCTGGCTTATCTATTGCTGAGTTTCCTCCAAGGTTATGGACACAACATAGGCTTGATTACCAGCCACTGTTCAGGAATATGAGCCTGCCCTCCTACCCTTGAACCCTCAGGAAGGAACAGATACCACACACAAAAGAGCGATGGAAATCAAGCCTAGATGCAACTGTTACAGTATTCTTACTAGAAATACTGAGTGTACAATGGAACATGCTGCATATCACAACCCATTCCTTTTAATTCTTAATTCAAAAAGGATCTCATTCCTCTCTTTCCTGGCAGCATTCATTTTAGTTAGATGCTCATGGAAGTTCCTTTTCACTTCAAAGTTGACTTCCATGGAGCAAACATGTACTGTACATGTACAGCACTGTCAGAGGCTAAAAACATTCCTCTACAAACCAATTACTGACCTAAAAAAAACAGCAAACCTGACTGCCTCAACATTACTAAGAGTTTCAGCAACTGCCTGCCCTTCCTCCAAACTTTTATCTCTCTATCTGTTGGCCACTGGCTCAAACTTCAACACCACCAGACAAATACTGACATTTGTAAACAGAAATTGCTCTGTTTCACTTACACAAGATGCAGACAAAGTTTCAAACTTGTCAAGGATTGACTTGTCTCCCAACAGAATTTGGCTTAAAAATTCCTTCAGCTTCTTCAAAGTTTAAAAACTTGCTTCCATATTATCACCCCATTTTAATAGGACATGCTTGTTTCACTTGATTTTGAAATGGATAGTCAATGAAACACAAACTGACGATGCTCAACTCCTCTCTGATCTGGTATGAATCTGGTGTTCTGCTTGCTTGGCTCCTGGCTCTTGACTTTCAAAGTAGTGGATGGTGAACCAAACTTGCTGATATGCACCCAGGTGTCCAATAAACCCGTGAACATACTCATGACTATATATGCTTCTGGATATCTTAGTATCCATTTTTTTTCTCAAAACTAGATTCTCTAAAAGGTAAAAACTCCTTTTTTAAGTTCAAAATTCTTATTCTTTAATTAGAACATTCATTTTTATATAGTTTACATCAACTGCTGCAGCTGGTGTCCAAAGATTAGGTAAACCTTAATTACCCTGTTTGCATTACACAAAGTTTTCAATTGTGTCATTTGGCCTTAAGGTGGTTGCAATTTTGGGTTCTGCCTCACAATGCAGAGTAGGTTCACTATAACATGTGGCAATTCATGGGCAGAGGTGCATACAGACTAATGTTTTATAGTAGTTTCCTCCACACCCACCATTACTAACAAAATACCCCCATAGAATAGAATTTTCAAAGTGTCAAGTATCTGTAAATTCACTTAAGATTAAGAAAGCTGAATTAACTTACTATTAAGAATGCTGGACATACTATTAATAATAAATTATTATAAAATCAATTATAATTTATGAAGCAACCCCATGGAGAAAAAAGATTTCCCCTCCTTTGAGCCAACAATTGCTTTAAACTACACCTCTGCCTTTCTGGAAAAGGCCTCATTCCTGTCTAGTCATCATAAATGCACTTAGAATTGCTTAACAGTTATCATAATTTTGATAAACACTGTACCTTGTCTACTCTGTCCTTCTGGACTCCATACTTTCCACCAAACCCTTTGGAATGATCTAATGAGAAAAAATAACAAAAAAAAAAAACCAAACAAAACATGACATCTCACAGGCATCACCACCAATTGAGGCTTAAAATATGGCTTCATCTACTGTTGGTGAGAACAGAGGTGAAGTTTACAAAATTAATGCACAAAAATTTCTTCAAAAACAAGAAAACAAAACTAGAAACAATTTTTTTTTCTTATTTACAGTGTACAGTACAAGGTAGAATATTTTCTTCAAGTTTGGTTGAAAATATACTATGTAGAATGAGGTACCTTTCTGGGAAGCATGTGCTTCTGTTTTCCCTTCATAATCAAAACCAACAGCTGCCTGAAGAAGGAAACAGTTATCATGGTTTATTGTTGGTAATAGTGAACAATGGTTACCATTTTTGACTGTCGGTAACCTGTCGGTTAACTGTTGGCCGACAGGTTACCGACGCATTATCAACACATTACCAACAGTCGGCCAACAGTGTTAAGTAGACCAAAAATTGACTGAAAACAGAGTCCAAACTTTTCCAGTTGAAAACAGTAAATAGAAACACATGTCAATTGCATTGTTTGTACCTATCTACTTGATTCTATTTAAATGGTAAAATAAGCTTGTTTAACCCATCTCCTGACTGTAAGTACCAAAATACCTATTTCTTATATCCTGGTTTGTACACAAAATGGTTCCTTTTCTACATTTTGCAAGTGAATGAACTAACAGGTCAAATAGTTCTAACCAAATAAAGACTTTCTTAAAAGGGTTTCAGAGGCAGTGCATTTAGGGATTGGGAACTAGAAAAACTTTTCAATATGGCAGATAAATGAAATTGAACCAGTTTGGGAAAGTTTTGCTAGCCAATGCAAAACAGTGGGCAAAAGCCACAGTAGCTATTGAGAGTAAAGTGCAAGGTATCTTTTTGAAACGACTTTTCCCCTTTTCCATGTAGTTTTAGAAGCAGTTGATAGGTAAATGTTTAGGATCATTTCAGTTTACAACCCACCACCAGGTTACCGAAAGGTTGCCAACAGGTCGCAGACTGTCGGCCATGTATGTGTACATTCATTTGTAGTTTTGCTCACCTTATCAACTCTGTCTTTTTGGACTCCATACTTGCCACCAAATCCTTTGGAGTGATCTACATGAAGGAAAAAATGAAAATTTACAATACATTTTGTTCATAACCATGAAACAAAGGAAACTTTAAATTTATAAATTTATACTGTCTCATTCATTATTAAACCCTTGCAAAACATAGACAATGTCTTTCTTCTAATGACATAAAACATTTTTTTATCAAAAATGATGTGACAAACCTTTTGTGGAAACATGTGCTGCAGTTTTGCCTTCATAGTCATAGCCAACTGCTGCCTGCCATGTGAGCAGGGTGAAGAAATAAACTCTCATAAGAATATATGAACTTACATTAAATTGCTGTTAATTTAAAACTTAATAAGGAAATTAAATGCACGCACATGAGAAACCAGTACTAATCAGAAAGTAGAAGTTGAAATATTAAGAAGAGTACACCATTCATTTTAAATAAAAGAGACTCAGAGGTTGCATCTCAATTACTGCTACATTTTGAAACAATTTTTGGAAGTTAATGTTTTCTTGTGTATCCTTATATTCAGCATGATCAGTTCCCAACATGTATTTCAAGTAAAGAAAGATGTTTTTTGTCTTTTCACAAGCATGGGACAAAGAAAAAATTCTGAGTCTCCATGAGGAATCCCCATGAGAAACCTCAGACCTTCAGATTCCACACTCCGATGCTCTACCACTAGGCCACAGACTCCGCAGTGAGCGAGGTCTATTAACAAGTTCATATGACATGCATCCTGCATACTGCTAGGATCAGCAATGTTGATAGCATAATGTTTGTAGATGAAAATAGGAGAGATGGTAAGTTTTTGAGCTTGGTAAAGAAATAAAGAAAGATGTTTAAGTGTTTGTGGTTAGAAATAAATAAATAAAAATAAAGAAAAATGTTGAAGTGTTTGTGGTTTTGTGAGTTTCAAAGTGTAGAACAGAACACAGGGAAGGTTACCACCAGAATCGCTGTATAATTATACAGTACACAACAACTGTCCATGTATTCACAGACAAATTGACTGGTCTTCTATTGTTTTTACTACATAACTTAGAATCTATCCAGGAAGTGAAATCTATAATATATGCAGATCTACTGAGTTTATTTGTATTGTTCAGTAACTTTCCTTCTACCTTCTACTTCATGCACAGTTACATGATGAAAATAACACTGTCGAGTACCTGGTCAACTCTGTCCTTTTGAACACCATATTTACCACCAAATCCTTTAGAGTAATCTAAATAAGCAGAGATACAGTCAAAGATGAGAATTATACTGGTACATGAATCCTAATGTGATGTAAGCTTTGTGAACACCTCTCAATACATCATTTATTAGAAACAGACAATGAAGCATAGGATTGCAGGCTGGACTGACAAATCAATCTGTTGAAAGTTAAAATCCCTATTTATCACCTACCTATTTATGGGATTTTATTGGCTGCTTTATGTCATATACAAAATATTCATTTTTCAGTCAATCTTTCACTGCGGACATTATTGGCTGACATACTAACACCCTGAAGGGTTTATTTTACTAAAGAATACACACCCTGTTGTGAAGCATGCTTCTCAGTTTTGCCTTCATATTCAAATCCAACAGCAGCCTAAAATGGGAGTACAAAATAATGTAGAACCAATAATAAATTAAAATATATATTAAGTAACTATAATATATTGATTAATAAAATAAATCACTAAAATTAAATTTAAAAATACATTTATTTGCTAATAAAAGACAATTAAAGTCAGTCAGTCAGTGAAACATAGTTATCTGTAACTAATACTGGGATGAATGTCAGTGCACACCTGTCTTACAGCCATAGACAGTTTTAAAGTTCTGGAAAAGCTTAGTACAGCACTTGTGTGTACACTTTTTTAAAAAAGGCACATGATAATGCTAGATAGTATTACATTGTTGTAAATACAAATCTGAAAGAATGAACTTAAAGCATCAACCTGGTCAACTCTGTCCTTCTGAACACCATATTTGCCACCAAATCCAGTAGAATAGTCTATCAAGATAAACAATAGAAGCCACTAAGACAATTTCATGGTTCTTTTGTAGATACATGTACCATTACAAATCCTAAAAGTGATCCCTTGAAAGAAAGGACTCCCAAAGGTGTTTGCTCAAGAGTGATTTAGCCCTTTTAGAAAAACTTTGTTTGTGAGTGTAACATTGATTACTGTAGCTGCAAGAACACTTCTTGCTTTTTTAACAACTGTGTCTGTTGTCATGAGTATGTTTAACAAATTGGTTTCTTTAAAAGAATTACAGTCAAGTCGCTGACGGTTCAACTCGCCAACACCAACTCGCTGACATATAAAATCGAGTAGAGACGTCGGCGAGTTGGTCTTCAATCCAGTACAACTTATTAAAAGTTAAAAGTTAAACATACAGAAAAGTAAAAGATATTTAGTAAAAAAAAAAAACAGTTTTGTTTTCTTCCAACAAAGTTTATAAGGATCTCATGGTGAATAAAGCAAGGTAAACGTCGCCAATGAATGTAAAAGCTTCAGAAGCGGACGAATTATTGTGTGGCAACAACACTGTGGAGACTCTTCATGTCAATCAGTCAGATTTTTTAAAAAAAACTTGGCTCTCTAGACATGATCTTTAGTAAAAAAACAATTCTTTTTATTTCCAACAAAGTTTATAAGGATCTCAAGGCGAATAAAGCAAGGTGAACATCGCCAATAACCAAGAAAGCTTTAGACGCAAATGAGTTGTTGTGTGAAATATGAGAATGGTGAAAAGACAGCGGCCCAATTATTGAAATCAATGTCGAGATTATACTGACCTTCAAGAGCAGAATAATCACATGATATGCATAGCTTTCACATGTTCACTTGATCTTTATAATACATTAAATCTTATCGTAAATCAAACGTTCTCGATTATGAATAAATCATTCTTTAAAGTTAAAAAACATATTGTTCCACCTGGTAGTTGGGGTTGTCACACAATAACTTGTTCGCGTCTAAAGCTTTTTCGGTCATTGGCGATGTTTACCTTACTTTCTTTGCCTTGAGATCCTTATAAACTTTTTTGGAAATAAAAAGAATTGTGTTTTCTACTAAAGATCTTGTCTAGAAAGCCAAGTTTTCTTAAAATAATCTGATTGACTGACATGATGAGTCTTTACAGTATTGTCACACAACTCGTTCCCGCCTGAAGCTTTTATATTCATTGGTGATGTTTACCTTGCTTTATTCGCCATGAAATCCTTAAAACTTTGTTGGAAGCAAACAAAATTGCTTTTTCCCTAAATATCTTTCACTTTTCTATGTCTGTCTTCTAATAAGTTGTACTGGATTGAAGACCAACTTGCCAACGTCTCTACTGGATTTTACACATCAGCGAGTTGGCGTTAGCGAGTTGAACTATCGGCGACTTGACTGGATACCCTTTAAAAAGCCCATTCACTTTACAGTGCTGTATGTGATTAATTATGAATGCAAGTCATGTTAAAAATTAATAGTTATCTGAAGGTGACAACCATGTGAATTTTGCAGTAAATTAATTTACTAAGTTTAATTTACTGCTGTATGAAAATAAAAACCCTCTATACTTTCAAACCTTTTAATAGAACCAAAAGATCAAATTGATACCCACTACTGGTGGGTATCAACCAGCAACCTGAAGGTGTTGCCTGAATTTCACACAGTTATGGTTATTACAATGGATCTTACTTCATTCTAACTGAGGGTTGGATGTGAATGGAGACTCAAAAGTCTGGATTTTAACTCCCCATTGACCAAGGAGGATATCACTTTAAACACACTTACCAGTTTGTGATACATGCTTTTCCACCTTCCCCTCATAGTCAAATCCAACGACAGACTACAAAAAGAATAAGTTATCATAATAGTTAGTTATCATAATAATAATAATAATAGTTAGTTATCATAATATATATTATATCCTCAAATCTATGATACACATAGTTAGCAACTAGAAGGAAAAGTAACACGGATCACAGAAGAGTACTTAAATGTGCAATTATTTTTACATGCAAACAATGTTTGCTGAACATGTATTGCATGTTTTCAGATATACAGTCTTCACACTCCTAATTGCATGGATTATAATGAGACTAATAAAGCTGAAAGTTTTAACTGCTTTGAAAAATTCACCACAAAAAATCACCAAAAGCAATATTCAATAGAAATACTAAGAAGCAAAACATGACTCTCACAGCAAAAACCTTCTGACCCATACCTGATCCATTCTGTCTTTTTGCACTCCAAACTTCCCACCATAACCATAGGAAGCTTTAGGACTATTCCATTAGTCAAGGAAAGAATTTTCTGCCCAATCGTTTATCATGCATGTACAGATATATAATATAATACATGTAATACAAAGATATTGAGTATACATCTGAGACTTTTCCAAAGGAGCTAATTGTCATAATGTATGTCATGCATGCACACTGGGAACCAACACAACAGGAACTTATCCCAGTTTCCTTAGCATGAAACGACTAGGAGTATTATTACTCCCCACTAGATGGGATGCCAGTGCATCACAAGGTTACCCACAGCATTTGAACAGGCTTCCCTGAAAATTTGCTGGTGCCCATTTATACTCCTGGGTGGAGAGAAGCATTGTGAATGTAGAATGTTTAGCCCAAGAACACAACAGAATAGCCTGACCAGGGCTTGAAACTAGACCTCTTGACCCAGAGTTCAGCACACCAAACATTAAGCCCCTGCATCTCCCACTCTTGCTACATGTAGCTCCCTAAAATAAACATAAACAAAGCTGTCCTCTTGTTTGCTTGTCCTCAGTTATTCAATCATGTACAGTACAAACTATTGTTAATAATGGATGTATAACTTACAGTTGTTTCATTGCCAGTTTTGCACAGATCTGTGAATTAAAACTGTTATCAAAAGGATACCCTCTCTCACTTTCATCTGTAAAAGGAAAAAAGAAATGGAGGCAGACTTTAATGAGAAGCTTACTGATTATGGTATTCTCTTAAGAAGACTCTTAGTAAATAAAACATTACAAGTAAATAGATGTTTTACTGCAGACAAGCTCTCTTAATCAATCACAATACAGAAACACTGGGAACTATACTGATGTGAGACATGTTGCACCTCAAAATGTATAGTTAGAGCCAACGCATCCTCTTTGGAAAGGTCACTTGGTTTTGAAAGAGTAAGGTGAACATGACCATCACCACAACAATTACCTAGTAACAAGTTCCTCACCTTGTTTAATCTTTGCATGGTCCTGTGCTACACCTTTTCGAAGATCCTTTATACTAACAAGAAGGTAGATGCATATTATTTTCAGGTTATGTTACACTCAACTGAACTAGCATCATTGACGTCTTTAAGTATTGCTTGCTCCTGCATGCACCTTACATGTAATTGGACACCAGTACCCTTATTTCCATGCACCAAACCTCCAATCAAGAATGGCATGGGTTTTACGTCAAATACAGTTTGATATCATTTAAGCCATTTCCATATCATCTCCTACATGTAGATCATATTACACTCTAATATATACTTTATAATTTGTTATTCTAGTCTTTAATATTTTTCTAGCTTGTTGGAAACATGATTAAGCTGACTCTAGGTAAGTGTAAATTATTTTGTTTGGTTTTGCAGTTTTAATTGACAGTTTTATAATTGAATATGAAAGCAATCTTTGCAGTAATGAACACTACTTAGGCAGTAGTGAAATAAGGCCTGGAAAAAATTCAGGCCTGTAATGCCCTGAACCCTGTAAAGCCCCCAAAGATAACTTTCATATGCACGTCTTTATGCGCAGTTCACATATATGACTTTCATATATTCACAGTCATTTTTATGATTGAAAGTTAATTTCCTTCTACTTTTCCTTACAGTAAAATAAAAAGCCAGTACCAATATTTGCATTACACATTATCAATCGAAACCAAGTTTAACTTTTACTTCTAAATTAGCACCAGCATCCTTTCAAATATCCAATGCCTGCTCCCTTGGTCTAAGCCAAGGATGTACAAAACGTGGTATCCCAATTGGTAGTGCACAAGACCCCACTTTAAGGGTCCAAAATTAAGCCCTGGCTTGGAAAAATTTGTTGGATAATTAAGCGAGACACTTCTCTCCTTTCCCCCTCTTCCACCCCCTGTTCTTCTCTCATCCAAGGAGTATAAATATTAAGTACTAACAAGTTGAACAAAGTATTTCTATAAAAATTACATCAATCAACATAGATTGGGGATAAAGATCACTTCTTGCTTGCCAGCTGGCTGGCTGAATTAATAGTAACAGTTTAACATGTGACCTGTATGACCCTAAGTGCACTTTCATAGAAACACAAAAAAATCCCAGTATGAGGAAGGTTTAAGATGACTTGGGCAAGTGTGGCAATATAGAAGGCCTTGTGATGTGCAAAAAGAAAGGAAGAAAGAGAAACAACAGCAATAAAATGACTTGTGCTAAAATCTACTTAGTTTGGTAGAGCTGGACACGAAAATAGACATGCTTGGACCTTGGTTATCATGTATAGACCTCACTCTACTAACACCGTGTGTTGTGCTGTCAACATTTTCACATCTGGCCCTTACTCAGTCAATGAGTAGAAAGTAACTCAAGTGATCTTATATACAGTTGAAGCTCAATTATTTGAACTTGCTCTTATGGTCCAATTTTTTCACAAATAGTAATTAGTAACATTCAAAATTTATGCTTTTCCTAGATGCAGCTTCAGAGAATGATGAAATAAGCAGCATGCACATGCTGTAGCAGCTTGAAACAAACTGATTTACATCAGCAATCCAGGTAGTAAATTATCTATGTCAATACTTGAGCAGATTTTGACTATGGTGCACAATGATTTGAGAATGTCCTTTAATTCTTGCATGATATTGATTAAATGAGAAGCATTCAATTTTATTTTTGACTCATTAATATTCATATTATGATTTTTAGGACTCTTAATTATCTGGAATACAGTATTCCCCACAAGTCTGAATAATCGAGGTTCAACTGAACTGCCTCACACTTTTTCAACTACACTGTATATCCACAATTAAATTAATTATTATATACTTACTTCAGAGACTCCTGATGTCCAGATCCTTCAATTGTCTTGGCTCCCCATCTTTGTTCTTGTTCAGAAACATCATTCTACCAAAATAAATCATGCTGCCATAAGAAACTTACTTCTGGATAGCAAGCATGCCATGACTTAATGAAAGGTCTTCATTAAAAGCTGTCATCTAATACCTGTATTGCATCTAGAACTTAATTCTACCATCTGTTGCAAAAGACCAATTAGGAAATGATATAAATAAAAATATCCTGACAAAATTGGATATCTTCCCTGAAGCCATCACTACTTGGCTGGAGTAATGTTTATTTATTTGGGATTTTCTGTTAAACCAATTAATGAAGCAATCGCTGTTGTATCTAAAGGGGACATATGTGCAATCATAAACGAGATTAAACAACATTAAAAGATTTGATCTGCTGAAATATTTCTTCTTTTAATCTCGTATGACGTAAATAAATATCCCTGGAAACTGAACATGTCAGAAAGTGAGCATGTGAGTGTTTTGTGGAGATTAGTAATTCTAAAATTAAGCTCTTATGGAGCTGAAAGAGTAAATCGACTCGTTAGGCTGAAGATACTAATAGATCACTTTATATGAATCAAATTGAAACTGGAAGCTTAAGTTGAAAGGTACCTTGCCATAGTCAACTGAAAGTCGTGTATAAAAGTGATTAAATATTGAAATAATTCAAACACGAAGAGGAAGTCACTCTCGGTTCGGCACCCACCACAAAGTCAGGATCTGTTTCCCAGTCATCATCATCTCCAGCACTACCTACATTCATCTTGGTGTCAACCCCTGCTCTCCACATTATTCTGGCCGATAAATCTAGGGACTTATCTATGTGAAAGAATGCTGAACGTAACGAGCTTGATATGGACAGGAAACTTCCTTGCTCACTCCCCTTCAAGTCACGTGATGTTTTGTGACACCGCTGATCGCTTAGACAGCAAACTGCCTTGCTAACAACCCTTCAAGTCACGTGATATTTTGTGAAACCGCTGATCGCTAGCGGCAGTCTAGTGTTCGATTTTGTCGACAGGCGTGTCCAATTTTAGCCAACCATGTTTGATTTTGGAAGTTATTTAAGTGTTCGATTTCAGACTAGAGTCCGATTTCAGAAACTAGTACGATATCCAATTATTCTAGTGTCTGATTTTAGACATTTGTGTCCGAGTTTGGTTTATTGTGACCGATTTTGGACACCAGTGACCGAGTTTAGCCACGAGTGTCCGATTTCAGACACTAGTGTCTGATTTTAGACAAAAGTGTCCGATTTTAAACACTAGTGCTCGATTTTGGGCATCAGTGTTTGAAATCTGATTTTGGGCAAGAGTGTCCGACTTCAGATACTAGTGTGCGATTTTAGACACTGTTTTCCAATTTCAGACAATAAAGTCTGATTTTAGATTTTAGTACCCGCTTTCGGAGAATAGTGGGCACCAGTTTCCGCATTTGGACACTAGCGTTTAAGTAGAACACAAGTGTCCGACGTTTGACACTATATATTAGTGTCCGATCATGGACTCTACTGCCCGATTTTAGACAGTGGTGTCCGGTTTTTAACACTGGTGTCTGATTTTTGACACTCGTGTCCGATTTTTGACAGTAGGACCCGATTTCGGCTCTAAACTGGTCCGAATTTAGACACCAGTGTTTGACTAAATGAATCTGCAAACATACCGGAATCAAAGTTAACGAGAACGAGAGTGTCGCATTTTATTCGTCACGAACAGAAAATTGGCTAGTTGGGAAGTGAATAGCTCTTACTAATCACCTCCTAGCAGCGTTGAAACAAAATTGCGCGTCAAAAGATTGTTTTCCATTCTTCGGTCGGTGAAACCACCACTATCCACCACCACTTCGTTGGATAGTTCTCAACTGTTGCGAAGTAAAATTCATGTTACCGGTATTTTGTTACGCAGTTTTGAAAGTTGAGGTTGAGACCACGTTTACATTAAAATTTCGAGACCAGGGCTTTGATCTGTACAAGTGAACAGGTGATCATGATTAGCTGTTTGACTATCAACTCTTTCGATCCGTTTCTTCTACATCTCCCTAAATGGAAGCTAAGGTAAGGTAGAACTTCCAAGAATAGATAAAGTAAGGAACGTGGATGGGAAAGAAATTCCTTCCGTCAACCATTATACGAATTATAAACTGAATTGGGCATTTGAAAGTAACGTAATGAAGTATCACTAGAAGAGGCTGGGTCGAGCTTCACTACAGAGACAGACACACTCTGTCTCGTCCGCGTTTCGTCTCAATCTCTTCTCTCCTAACGTTTCCGTTCTTTATCCATGCAGAGAAATGTTCACAATGCGATGAGAAGAGTACTCGTTCTTCTTTGAATGAAAATCAGCAGTCTGTCAAAAGCCACCACGCCACAAACATAATTTGCCCCTGCGACCTTACGCGAAGTCATCATTCCTGACCACCTGTCCAACTACCCACATTGAGTACACTATTACGGACTAAGACTCTACAGAATTGTAATAGGCGAAGCACGCAAAATACGGCAAGTTGGCTAATGGTGTCAAGGGGGTAAGTTTCTAAAGAAACTGTGGTGCTGCGTCGGTGGGATAGTATAACAGGGTAATTTGGCATTATCAACTAGTTGATAACGTAAATTGAACACCGCAAGAATTGCAAAGCCAACGCTTCGAGTATTAGCCCTTCGTCAGTGCGAAAACTAATTCGTCAGAGCGAAAACTAATGGTGTCAGTGAGTTACTGCCTATCCAGAATAAATAGCAAGCCAATCAAGAATTAATTCACAGTAGAGAACTACAGGACCATGCATGCCCCCAGACCCCCCTGGCGGCTCACGCCTTCAGCGCTCGAAACTTGACTCGTCTTGTTCTGAAGTGCGGCCCTGATTTCTCGCCCCTCAGGCTGCTAACTTGTTTTCACTTGGGTTCCTCATCAGCCCCTTGTGATAGCATCATTTATTCTGCTTGGCGCCTATCAAAAACTAAGTTTGGATTTAGTTTTGCAGCACTCAATCGAAAAGCGCTCTATGGCCCAATTTGATTTATATGCGGATATGTGGGTCGAGTTGAACCATCGTTTGCAGTTGTCAAGGAAACGGCTCTGTTGCTTTAGCAGATGATGTTAGCTGGACTCTCCCACCCCTAATCCTGATAAATTGGCATTACCACAAGTTTAGATATTTTTATCCAAGTAAAAGAAGTGATCCTTGCAGGTGAACTGCAATTTAACCCTTTAACTCCTAAGGGTGATTGGCATCCAATTTCTCCTTAAAAGAATCACCCCTGAATCAAACATTCAGGTCACAAGAATAAAGGAAACGATCACCAACTGAAGGAGTTCTTGATTGATAACTAAATTCTCCATAAGCACTTTAGCAAATACACAGGAAACAGTATGGAGAACATGCATTCTAATATTAGGGTGTAAAGGGTTTAGAGATTACAGAAAAGAAGAGGCTTGACAAATTCAGGTTTCATGGGTTTCGAGCCTGTGCCTCTCAGATACTAGTTAGGTTCTTGGCCAAATGAACTAGTGAACCACAACTTATGAGGGAGTCAAATTTTAGTAAGTTCTTTGTTCCTTCTTCATAAAGGAATCTGATCAAAATCAAATGAAATAAATCACATTTTGACTTGCAGATAATAATTAACTAAAAAAATGATACTTGCAGGTCAGCTACAATTCAATTTATTTTCCAACAACAACAACAACAACAACAACAATCAGTGATAGGAGCAATAGTCAAAACACTGATAGACTATTTGGAGAGTTTGTCCTTCTCTACCGTATAGCTCTTTACAAAAGGTCTTAAATAAACTAAACTTGGCTGTCCATATCTTCTTCCTTTGCTGCTATCTCTATTTGATTTGGCATCACTGCTACATTGTGTATCATCAGGATTACCTTGTGAATTGCTAATACAATTGCCACTACAATGCAATTTGGAATTACTGTCTGTACAGACATCTGATGAGTTGAGAACCGTATTGTCACTACATGCTGGGCTTCCATCAGCGAGTGATATATTAACATTAGCATCTTGCAAACTTACAAAGGAAGCACTTGTCCCAGGTAAAATTCTGTTGGCCTCATCATTGCTTGAGATATTACCACTGGAATCTCCAGCACCTTGCAAAATTGTTGATTTGCTTTCACCTGTGGGCAAATTTCCATTTTTGCCATCATCATTATATTCTCCCATTTCAAACTCCATATCCTGGATACCTGGAAATTGTTTTTTGTCAGAATCCGCTCCCTCAGCAGTGTATATGGCAGTAGGAGTTTCTCTTTGCTCTTCACTTGAGAGAAGCCAAGGTACATCAAGAGGCAGAATTTTAGTTGTGATATAATCAACCAAACCATCATATATTGTTGGAACATCAGTGTTCTTAAAAGGAGAAAGAGATATCAAAGAATCCTTGCACAAAATTATTACAGGATGAACTACAAATCAAATAAATTATCAAGTAAAAAATTTGGCTTCATCATGCAGAGATATAAATGATGAAATTACCTGTGGACATTGAGTCAGACTTAACCTTTCTTTTGCCAAGGACAAAAGATAGCATACATTGGGTGTAAATTAAACTGCACAATTAGCAAAGTATAAATCAAAATGAAAGTTAGAAAACCAATCCAGAATTTTGAAGTAGACCTTTTCTTTTAATTGCACCTGACACTTGCAAACTCTTGGAGGACAAATCATGGAAAATCAAATGAAGGGGGCCATGCTAAGCTCACAATTGACTTCCTAGCTAACCAACCTTAAAAGCAAAAGCTGCCAACTTGCGCACCCCAAGCACATGTGGAACTCTTGAGTTACTCATACCAAATATGGCACCAGCAGGAACCTTCCTTGTCGTACACAGGAGGAGAATATGCTGAAGAAGAGCAGGTGGCTCAATATGGTGATCAACCTTGAAATTAAGGAGAACCTAGTCCATAAAAGTATCCAGTTTCCACTTCTTACAGGAAGGCTAAACCAACCTCATAAACATTTACACAGAAACAACAATCAATTACACAGAAAAGATTTCAGTTTCAACTAGCCTTTTTTGGTTATTTGCAAAGAAAAGGTAATTGGGGACAATCAAGAAATATTGATCTACCAGTGGCAAGCAGATAAATTACGTATTTGTTGAAGCTGAAGGTTGGGCAATATATTTGATCAGTCATGCGGTGACAGGTTACACTATTTGGAAATAATTGAAGGGATAATGTACAGTCAGTAGTAAATAAACCTATCATGCACTTATACACATACAATCTTCATATTCTGACAGCCAACATATTAACTTCAAAATATAATTTTATAAATTTAGGCCACCAGCATTGGAGAGCAAGACAATATAAATGCCATTTAGAAAAGCCTGTTCCAAAAACTTTCTCATTCATAGTCACACAATGGTAATGAAAAATGGTAATAGAAATGTTTTTTGTCTTACCAACACTAATCTGACAGTTCCTCTTTCCAAAGCTTTTATAACATTGGAGAGGCCCAAGAGAAGGCCTGATCTCAGATGCTTTACTTTATCTTTCTCATTTTGCTCCGAGGCTTTCCTTGATTTAGTGCACAGTTGTTCAAACTGAAGTGGTTCAAGTACCCTGTAAAGGGAAAATGCTGTTTTTTATAGAGGAAGGTTTCTTGAAATGTCTCTTCATTATGGGTAGACTTGACTTGACCCTTCTTGGTATTTAATTTCGCAAGTACTTAGTTTTGGCATGACAGTATTTAGTGAGGGTTTCATTTTGACAATTTCAATAGGCAAATATGAAAGAAGGGCATTTTCTTTAGTTCTAAACTTCATTTTATTCTTAAAAATGTCTTAACTTTGGACAACTGCATGAAAGATCAAGAGAATTTGTTTGAGTCTGGCAATTCAAACAAAAATGATACAGCTGTAACTAGATACTCTACTCATATAAGAAATCTTTGCAAATTGACTTCATTTCTCAAAAGAGAATACAAAACAGAACTTACAAGTACAACCAGTTAACAATTTGTGTATTTGTCTATATATCCTGTATATGTTGTTGTTGTTACATGTTGATCTTTTTTTCTGTGATTTGAATATTCCATAGGGGAGTAAATTTTGTAAGGGTTTCTATTTGCTGGTCTTTAATTTCAGGATTATTTTGCAATCGCAAAAGACACAAAATTGAAGAAATTTGAAATATTGCTTGTGTTAGTGTTACAGTATGATCTAACTAACAGAAAAACACTACAATCCCACAAACTCAACTACTTTATTAAACAGGTAGTAATGTTCTTTACAAGGAGCAACTCCTCAAAGCAGTACAATACTTATCATTAATACAATTAATTAAGCCCACCACAGTCTATATCCTAGTTCACCATTGACACAATCTCACTGCTGTCTCCAAAGTTCCTTGAAGTGAGCAATCTTCTGCTGCAGTAACTCTCTCTCAGTATAGCTTTCGAAACAGTCGTCGCTCCAACAACAACTGCTCTTACTACTACATAAGTGAGTCTTTACATATATTCACAAAGTTCTGGAACACTCCAGAAGCTTACATAAGAACTATTTTGGTAGTTTTACATAATAAATGTGTGACCCGATGAAATGTTCTGGAAAGTTCTATGGTATGCAAGTCAGCATGACTCAGCAGTCTGGAGATTTCTAAAAGCAACAACAATTACCCATAACATTAGGTACATGACATCATGTCTTCTAATATTTCAAAATAATTATGTGGAAGACTTCTTAACAAGATAAAGATGTATTTTCTCTCATGAATATAACTAAATGGGGAATGGTTGAAGAAGAAATTCATCATCATGATCTAGTGGATTTAAATGTGTTTGGCTTTAACCCCTTAAAGTGCTACTATGATTGAAGTTTCACATTTTCCTTTATTTTGTTTTTTTTTTTCACTCCTGGAGACTAGAAGTAAGAAACACTTACCATGCCAAGTTTTAATCCAATATTTGCATGGGAAGTTCAATTATTTAAACCATGTTTTTTTGATGTTGGTCGCCTGTCATTACTCAATTCAAGAATAGCTGTGTACAGTAAAAAGAGTTGGCACCAATTCAAGCTTTTCCATAGTGATATCACACGTGCATCTCAACAAACCAACATTTCCTATGCCATTTATAAGAAGCAAAAATTGGCCATCTATTTCAAGGCTTATTTTGCGTTCATCGACCTTAAAACTAGGGTTTTGTAGAAGTCTAAACATTTTTACCAAATCATTGTTCAAAGATGACAAAAAGAAAAGCAAAATTTTTTGTCATAGTAGCACCTTAACTATTCAAAGTAATTAAAATGTAATTTCTTCCCATGACAGCCTTATTTTATCCAGCAAACAGAAAATAAGAATACTCAGGTAAAGGTTGCTATCTTGATCTAATACCAAATTCTCATGACTATTTAACATAGAAATGTGCATCAGCTTGAGGGAAGACCTCACAATCAGATCTTGAGAGTTGAAGGGTCAAAATACAATGCCTTAATATCGATTTTTACTTTTCTACTTGAAATGCAACACAAAAAGGCAAAAAACCTCGCACTACTTAACTGGCAACACTAAAAAATAATATCAATGTAAGCGTCGAGTTCAATACAGACATTATTCAGTAATTTTCTAGACTAAGTGCAAACATCGAACACATTTCACATTATACGAGTCGGTATGATACTCACCTAATAATTTCATTTATAATGGCCGTGCTGCCTCCTCTTTTCAATGCAGGCCTTTGAAATAATGATGATGCAGTAATGTTGATTTTAAAAATAGCAGTTTAATGATAATGACAATACCAGAGATCGAGGAGCAATCGTATATGAAGCGGATTTTCGTATAAAACGAATATATAAAGTTCAAACAAAAACTATAGCTTGAAATCTGTATTTTTCCGTTTCCAGAGACAATCCAATTTAGCTTCATTCACTTCTTGCTGAAATCTATTTAAAATCAACTTGCAATATTTCATCCTCTTAAATTGCTTCGAGAAATTGTTACGTTTTAGTTGCCCCATTAAAGAAAACTCTTACCATTCGAGATGATAGGGTGAAGCTAAAGCATGCCTCGTGGCGCTTTGCGGAAAACGTCTCTTACGAATTCCATGTTTCTTCACGGTAGCCGCCATTTCAACATGATCTCGAGACCGAAATTACGATTATCGTTATTTCTAAATTGGCACCAAATTTATGGATATAGTAATTTCGTGGCACTCTTTACCAATGCTCTTTACACGTGTTAAATAAAGAGAAGGACTCGGTTCCACTGTCTTACAACATTCAAGATGGCGGAGGAAAGGGGTAAATGTGCGTTCAGTTGTGATCAGCATGATCTCGACACCAAAATAACGATTATCGTTATTTCTAAATTGGCCCTGAAATAACGAATATCATAATTTCAGTGCATGTCTGAGACCTTCGGGCTCGAAGCTTGGGAACTAGTATTCAGGGAAAGATAAAATGGCGGCTTACGGCGGCGAAGGAAATCTCAGTAGTTTAATATTTTAGCGTGAAAAGGCTTGGGTGTTGTGATCTGGTTCTCAAGTGAAAAAAAAAAATCACGGTCTGCAATGGCCCTACCACCTTTTGAACAACAAGAAAACATTGAAACGGTGGTAAAAAGCAGCAAGTTTCGAAGTCTAAACGAAAGATGGGTAAGCTGAGTTTCAGTCAAATATCATGACATTTGGGATGTAATTTCGATACCGAATAAATAGTTCTACATGGTTATACACGCATAGGATTCTGTTGTGTTCACGTAAAGGCCATTTCAGCCATTCCTGCCACTTGTAAGTGGTAGGAAATAAAAGATATGTATAGTTGTTTCGTATTGAAGCCCTGTGAAATCACAAATTTGATTTATTTCTTCTTTGTTTTAGGTGGTCATTATCCATTACTTTTGGAAGTCGATGCTGATGAGAAAGAAAATGTTTATGATTATTTCTTCTCTCGAACATTTTACTCTTTAGGTACCAAATAATCTTGATACTGAAGATCATTGCATCCATTATGAAAAAATTACCCTTGATTGCTTTGTCAACTGGAATGTATAATGTAATATACCTTGTGATTTGTGGGATTTTCACAAGTAAACTAGAAATACTTGAAGAGAGTAATGATGTACTTAATGCAGAGCATTTGGTACAAAGTCTGCTTTGCTGTAATCTACCTGAAGGTGCTTTTTATATGCTAGTAAGACTTGCACAGCCCAGTCAAAATGTTTTTGAGTAGTAGAAAAGCTGGCCAAACCTCTTCCTGAAAAGCAGTCTGAAAAATTTGAAGTTAGCGGAAGGTACTTCATTGTAGGCGGCCAAATTGTAAGCTGCCAGCCCATTTTGAGTGAGCAGTAAAACTCAAGATTGGCTATTTTAGCTAATTTTATTGAGAACCAAATTCCCAGCAACGGGCACAATTTTACTGGGCTATTTGTTATTTAACTACTTAGTAATATTCTTATTAAAATTTACTGCATTCCTTTCTAATAATTTGCTGCTGATTGTATGCTGTATATAGCTTATGATTTGTGTGATTTTCACAAGTAAATTAGAAATACCTGAAGATAGTAATGATGTACTAGATAATGTACTTGATGCAAAGCTATTTTGGTGCAAAGTGTGTGCCTTGTCCGTAGGTGATTTTGCATGCTAATAAGACTTGTAATTCAAATAATACACATCAGCTGGAGTGGGAATATTAAAAGAAAAATAATAATATTTAGCTATACCAAGTTCTGGTTTTATGTCCAAAGTGTGTGCCTTGTCCGTAGGTGATTTTGCATGCTAATAAGACTTGTAATTCAAATAATACACATCAGCTGGAGTGGGAATATTAAAAGAAAAATAATAATATTTAGCTATACCAAGTTCTGGTTTTATGTCCAAATTAAGCACTTAGTTGAAGATCACTGCACTGCTCAGGTCCAGAAGGCTGAAAGAGTACTGTCTGCTGTTAGTTTGATTTTTGTCATTTCTATTGATTTATTTTATTTATCAATGTTTCTTTGAATTGTAATTCATTGATCTCTTTCAATAGTGCAGGTTCGCTCATGTAACCTAATCTCCCACTTATGTATGTATGTATGGATGAGCTCAGTCAAAATGTTTTTGAGTGGAAGGCAAGCTGGTGATAGTAATAGGCAGCAGAGGCTGAACCTTGTCTTGAATGGAAGTGTGAAAAGTGTGAAGTTAGCGGCAGCCAAATTGTCAGCTGTGGCACATTTTGACTGGGCTGATTGTGTGTAGTATATATGTGCACTTCTTTTAGGGTGTTAAACAGGTTAAAGTACCAAGAAATCCTCTGTGATAACTTGATAATTCAAGATGTAAAAATTTTAAATAATAAGGTAAAGCTTGATCATTCTTAAGAGTTTCCATTTGTTCTGGAAATTTGGGGGAGAGTCAGGGGAGCATTATTTATACATAAATAATGTACATAAAAAGTAAAAAAAAAAGGACCAAGGTAAAATCCCAATTTGTTTTAAGAATAGTTTTTATTAAGAGAAAACCCTGGATATAGCTTGGGATTTGTGTGATTTTCAAAAATTGTTAGGAACCTTGTTAATTTTCAGCTTCAAGAACACAAGTACATAATCTTTAGTGCAGCCCTCTTTTCTCCCCGCCATTATTCTAATTTTTTTTATCAAGTTTCCTTTTTCTTGTGTTCAATTAATTTATTGTCTTTACAGGTGAAATTTTAATATCTGCTAGCACAATTATCTCTGCTAAGAGTGTCTACCATCACTCTTGCCGGTCTCAAGCCCAAAACGCTGCAAACTAGCTGAAACTACATGTATTTCGTAAAATTGCAATGAAATCTATCTAAAAACACCAAAATCCGGCAGAACGCACGAGTTTTTGCCAAATTTTACGCAAAAGTTGACAAAAGCGCTCAATTCGACCTGAAAAACACTTTTTTTTTTTTTTTTTTTTTGCAAAAATCAGCCTATTTTACATTCAAAAGCACGATGTCTTTAACAAAATAGGGATACAATCCATGTGAAAACACTTATTCCAGCTAAAACGCAGTGTTCTCAGTAAAATTTGGGGAAAAAACGCGTAAAAACCGTCAGAAACACGACAAATTGGGCTGATTTTACCCACTTTTTGTGTAAATAGCTGCCAAAACCCTCTAAACTAGCTGGAACTACATGTTTTTCACAAGATCGCCATAAAATCTTGAAACGTTGCTTTAGGGACCTTTATGCCTCCAAAACGAGTTTTTACTTTAAAAAAAATGGAATGAACAAAGATGTTAAAGGGGAAAAAGCTGTGAGAAAGGAGAAGTTTAGTGTTGCTGTTTGATATGCCGCCCAGATATATCAATTTATTAATTTAACGCCTTTAGCCGTGGGCAGAAGTTTTTCTCTAGACTAAGAGGACCCTCCCTATGTTGACGAACCTCAATAACTCGTTGATTTTACTGTTTTTACACAGATTTGATTTTAACCATATTCGCCAAAATAACTGCCAAAACACGGCAAACCAGTATCTCGGCCAAGAGCGATATTGGCCATTTCACACATCCTTATTAGATATGAATTTTATTAAAGATTGTCATTCTAGCATATGTTGGCTAGTTACCACAGGTTTCTTGATTTTCATGGGAAAGTGGCATTGGTTGGTACCATGACCAATCTCCTCGACTTTCCCATGATTTTCATAGGATGTTAGCGACCCATACTTCGAACCTCAGTTGTTTTTTTTTTTTTACATTGGCGCGAGTTTCACAACTTTCTTGTGGTTTGGCATTGACTCAGAGTTGGGCTTATTTTTATGGCTAATCCATCGGCGACTTTCTCATGATTTTCTTGGGTTCTCAACAGTGACACGCACTTTGGAACCATAATTTTATAAATATGTCAACACTGGCAAATACTGCTAAAATCTACACTCTACTAAACTCCATGTACCACAATATCCACACAACTGCGTGTGCCTACTTGAAAATCCTAACCCTAACCCTAAAACTATCCAGTTAGCCTAGTATTGTATTGCTGGTTTGAGTGACTAAACTGGCTCAAATGATCCAGCTGCTTAAAAATCTAAGCACAGAGTAAGTTTAAAAGATTCAATTTTGTAAGGTTTCGAAACAGTTCCAAAATTAACATGCACATAGCTCAGTGTAAAACATCGAAGCTTCTAGGACTTCTTATGATTCCTACGAACGTACACACCTAATGCACGTCAATTTGCCTTTGTTGTCCTCGAACGATCACGTCTTCATGGTAACGTGGTGTAAGAACTGTACAGCACTTTATAAATATATGTTTTACTTGACGGTAAAAGTTTGAATCCGTACAAGGAAACGTAACGGAAACAGGCGATGATAATATTCCGTTGACAGAAATGCAACGGAAACGTGTCGTCATATTTCCGTTCAGGAATCATAACGGAAACATAACAGGTCCAAGGAAGAAGTGAATGATGTGGAAACATAGAGTTTCATTTTTCCGAATTACGGAATCATGCTATTTCGTCCTGTGCTCACTCTAACTCTGTGCTATCCTAAACCTAACCCAAACCCCAAACCAATCCTAAGCTATGGTAAAGGGTTTAAGTCAGGGTTGAGGATAGGGTTAGGGCAGGAGCCCATTACCTGGTTAGGGTTAGAGTTTGGGTTGCTTCGGGTCAGAGGGGTTTAGTGTTACAATCAGGGTTAGGGCTAGGGTAAAATTATGCTTAGAGTTAGCGGGGTTTAGTGTTAGAATTAGGGTTAAGGCTAGGATGAGGCTATGCTTAGGGTTGGCGTTAATATTTTTCTACAAGCATTCAATTGCAGGGTTTTTGGTATTGTGTTTGTAAATTTCAGTAACTACTTGAAAGTTTACTGAAAAACAAACGATAGGCCGACTGGTACACTTACAGGATAGATAGAGAAGGTTGGGGTTAGGGTTAGGGTTAGGGTTAGGGTTAGGTCTAGGTTAAGGGCTATAGGTTAGGGTTTAGGGTTTAGGGTTTAGGGTTAGGTTTTAGGGTTATGGTGTGGGGCTAGGGTTAGGGTTAGGGTTAGGGTTTAGGCTTAGTGTTAGGGTTAGAGGGTCTGCGGTTGAGGTTAGGGCTAGGGTGAAGGTTTGGGGTTAGGGTTTGGGGGTAGGGTTAGTGTTTAGGGTAAGGGTGTAAGCCTCTTCAAAAATATTTTTAAGAAGATTTTGTCACCTTTTTCACTTAAATAACCACCTGAAGAATTTTGACCAGTTAGATTATTTGAAGCGGTTGGATTAATTTTGATTGGGGTTTAATAACTTTTAGTAGTTGGATGATTATTTTTACCAGTTGAACCACTGTAATATGCTGGATCTTTTTAACTAATGTTACCATCCTTACCTGAATTATTTGAACCAATTTCACTGGTTACACATGCATTATCCAGTTAGACCATTTCAACTGGTTGGATTATTTAAACCAGTTTGTCCATTTTAGATATTGGCATCATTTTATCAAGTTGGATCATGTTAACCAGTCGCACCATTTTACTAAGTGAGATCGTTTCTTCCGATTGGACCATGTCACGTAATTAAAATCTTTTCACCGTTTAAACCATTTTATCTTGTTTTGGCTGGTTGGACCATGTTAACCAGTTGCATCATTTTGACTGGAGTGAAAAGTTCCGTTCTTAACCCGAGCCCTAACCCTAACCCGGGGTTAGGGTTAGGGTTAGGATAGCTCGCAGCTAGAGTTAGGGCTTGGGTAGGGTGGGATTATGATTAGGCTGAGGGTCACAATTTTTTCTGAAAACATCCAATTTTTTTTTGGTATTGTGTTTGGCTCTAAACTTTAACAACTACTTGAAAGTTTGCTTGAAATCAAAATATACCATTTTTTGCCAAAATAACTGCCAAAATGCGCAATTCGGGCCTTTTTATCAATTTACACTTGGTTTAAGCTTGGTTTTTGTGTTTTCCCACAGACTCTTAAACTATTTTGCTGAGAACATTTTTTGCAGCGTTTTTAAAACTGAAATAAGCTTATTTTTGCAAAAAAAACAAACGTGTTTTTCAGTCGAATTTAGTGTTTTTGTCAACTTTAGCGAAAAATTTTGCAAAAATCGTACATTTCTGCCGTATTTTGGAGTTTTTAGACAGATTTCGTCGCGATCTTGTGAAAAACATGTAGTTTCAAGCTAGTTTTCAGTGTTTTGGCAGTTATCTTGGCAAAAAATGGGTAAGTCAGCGCAATTGTTTTTTTTTTGGTTTTTAAGGTTTTGTTTGCCCAAATTTTACTGAGAACACTGTGTGTTAGCTTGTCTCCATTGTTTTTTCGCAGATTCTATCGCTGTTTTGCTGAAAACATAACGTTTCAGCTTGTTTGCATCGTTTTTGGTCGTGAAATAAGCTAATTTTTGCAAAAGGAAAAAAAACCTGTTTTTCAGCCCAAATTGACATAAAGGATACAGAAGAACATTTGCTTATTGCCTTTTTTTTTGTCCTTACTCATGAAGTTGATTTTGGCATTTCAAACAAAAACTCTGCTAGAGCATTAATTGAATGACATATCATGCACTTACTTTGAAGCAAGAACACTTTTTTTTTAATTCAGAAAAATACCTTTTTATTTTTTTTAAGGACTGCTGGATATAACCTGTACAACCAAGATGAATTTACATTCATTATTTGTCATAACTTACACTAAATTAGAAATTCAAGTATGAAATGAGGGTACTAGCCCTTTAATAGTGTTCAAAATTTCCATATGCAGGGGTACTTGTGGCTACTGGAGAAGAATCAGTCTTTAACCCTTCACCCCCCCCCCCCCCCCAAGGGAGATAATAAGTACAGATATCCTCTTCCCTAGGGGCAACTAGCTCAAAAGTGAGTGATCTCAAGGGCCCTCCAAAAACGTTTTCTACAGCAATAA